ACCCCAACTCGTCGTCAGACTTGAATGACAAGCTGAATCATCTGTACAGCCCAATAGCTCTGTTCTAACTGTGAGAAAAGCATCAGAGGTTCTAAGAGAGAGGCTCCTAAAAATGTTTTACTGGTATTTTCTCAAAATTGTCAAAATCATCAAAAACTCAGAAATAATGCTGAGAAAAGCCTGAGGTAGCATGATAAGTAAATGTGTTACAGAACCTACGGAACTGAACAAAGGACGTCGTGAAAACCAAGATCTGAGTGCACAATGGAATTAAATTCATTAAGCTATCAATATAGGTTCAAAATCAGGCCAGGCAGTAGTGGTGGCACATGCCTTTAATCCCAGCAGTCTGGAGACAGAGAAGGCAGATCTCTATGAGTTCAAGGTCAGCCTGGTCTACAGAGTGAGTTCCAGGACAGACTTCAAATGCTACACAGAGAAACCCTGTCTTGGGGGAAAAATGCAAAAATATCTGCACTACTTCATCAGTTTTTGTATAAATCCCAAACTGTTGTAGACACAAAGTCTATTTGGAACCACCATAAAGGGCACGGTAACTAATGAGCCCAGAGTTATGTTGATCTTTGCATCCCGTGCACTAACACAAAGCCGGGCATGCCAGAGTAAAAATATTTGCTGATTGGGACTTGTTCTTGTGCATATCATGTGATAAGTTTATAAAGAGTTTTGCAAGTTTAGATTTCCTTGCTTTCCAAGGTCGATCCACGGACTCTAGAACTGAGTGTGATAGGAGGCAGGGTGTTCTAGACAAACTAGAAACTAGCATTGAGAGAGATTTGCCTGAAGTTACACAGTTAGTAATTGAATTCTAGACTTCCTACTGTATTTGAAAACTCAAGTCATTGGGTTTGCTTCCTCTGCTGTATAGAATACCATACACTCTGTAAGGGGGAAGATAGAATACTCTTGAAGTGTCCTGTAGTCATTAGCTCTCTGTGGTGGTAATTATACTATGGAGAGGTTGCTGCTTGGTTCTTAGATCTCTCAGTGCCTTTCAATCATGTCTTCTCTCTGCCTTGCTCCACGATCTACCTTCTATTTTGAAGTTCTCCTTAATTTCTTTATTTTTTTCTTTGTTTGGTTTTGGTTTTACTTTTTTGAGTCATTGAGTTGGGGTTTCTCTTTAGCTTTGGTGCCTGTCCTGGAGCTCCTTCTGTGGACCAGGCTGGCCTTGAACTCACAGAGATCCACCTTTCTCTGTCTCCCAAGTGCTGGGATTAAAGGCATGTGCCCCCACTGCCCTGTTCTCCTTAATTTCTTTAGCTTGGGCACAAAGACTGTATCTGAGGCCTATACAGAAGTAGGAATGTGCTTAAGCATCTCTGTTCCCTGCCAGGCTCAGCATCCCTTTTGTTCCCTTGGGGTGGAAGAATAGCAGAGGTCACAGGAGCAGTCACTTCTTTCCAGAAGGGGACCAGGGTGACACTGGAATCCTCTCCGTGTAAACTGGCTGCTTGCAGAAGCTGCACAACAAAACCTACTCGTGTTAGTGCAAACCACTGGGATGGAGGTTTGGTGGTGCAGTGTGCGGAAACAAGTGTTTTCGGAGACCTTCCTGTCCAGTCTGGACTTCCTAACCAGGCATAACTGGTGTCCAGTGGTGGGTGGATGGGTATGTACTGAGGCAGTCTAGGTCATGCTGAGAGACCTCTTTACCCTGGCTCTAGCCTAATCTGGATCACCATTCAGCAAAGTCACTGCCTCCCCTGGCACAGCATCTGTCCCACTGGGGTCAGGGAAGGGATGAGAAGAGACAGAGCATGAGTAAGAATGCGACAGAGAAGCTGAAAAGGAGACACTTCATAATAGGAGGAAATTGCTCATGCTCGAAGCCATTTCATCTAACCGAACAATTCTCTCTAAATAGCAAGCTGGAGGATAGACATACAAATAGCTCTCATAAAATCAGCTCTAAGTGACTGCAGAAAATTGTGCCTCATAAAGTCTCAATTTGTCTTATTTATGGGCGAATTCCCATTCCATTAGAGGACCATGAGTTATAGATGTTCACCATATCGTGCTCCCACACAAGTCTCAATGAGAATCTTTTCTGAATCAATCCCATCATTCTTCAAAGCACTCCAAGTACACCTTTCACCTCTAAATTAACTAAAAGTCACTTCCAGAGAGAGCTCCTTTTAGCTGCTGAGCCAGCTGGTTCTCCTGGGGTCTATGCAACAGTGTATTCTTTAAGAAATTTGAAGCACAGGTGCATCTCATGACAGAGATACATAAAGGACTTATTCCAGAGTCACAGGACTGTCCAGAGTCCTATAAGACCTTCATAGCTAGCTCTGGACACTGAGAATCAACGAGTCCAAAAGTACATTCATACACATACATTCTTTCCTTCCTTTTGTAGCTCCTTAAATTCACCAAAAAACCACCCAGTTTTTGTTAAAGGGCCAAGACCAAGGCATCTGGCAGGATCACAGGCCACCAGCCTCAAACAGTAGACAAGTGCCTCATATGAAATGGACCTCTTTGGTATGACAAATTTGGCACAGTTTTTTAAAAACTCAAGTTTTAGGTATACAGGGATTAAATTGCAAATGCCGCCATCTCAAATTATATGAGTTATTACCTCTAAGAAGTAGCATGGGGGTGAGAGCAGGAATATAGGACTTTTTTTTTACGAGACAGGATTTCTCTGTATTGTTTTGGAGGCTGTTGGTCCAGCCTGGCCTCGAACTCACGGAAATCCGCCTGCCTCTGCCTCCTGAGTGCTGGGATTAAAGGCGTGCGCCACCACTGCCCGGCTTTTTTTTTTTTTTGAACATTTATAATGTACATTTCTAGAGTAATTTTATATCAAATACATAGTAGTTAATAGATGTCCCCACAGTCACACCTGAAAGGACAGTCTTTTAATATGTGATGCTGAGAATAACTGTATCGTCATCCAGGAAAAATTAACCTTGACTTAATTCACTCCAGGTAGCTAAACTAAACATTAAAGGCAAAGTAACTGCTTCTAGATAGTCTCACACTGGGTGCGCAAATGCTTATCTCAGTTAAGCTGCACATTGTCTTAAGAATTTTTTTGTATATCTTACCCTTAGAATGAAAGGTTTGAAAAGTGGTAGATAATAAAATCCATTGGATGGGAGGAGGGAAACATGGGCAAAAAATACTGCAAGACTAAGCAACTGCCAGCTGCCACACTAGCCCAGAGACTGACTCACAGGCTTCCTGGTGCCATTCACCAGGGTTAATTCCCTCACTGAGACACTGAGCCACCATGTGGGTGCTGGGAATTGAACTCAGGTCCTTTAGGAAGAGCAACCAGTGCTCTTAACCACTAAGCCATCTCTCCAGACCCCTCCATCAGGTTTCTTAAAGCACACAATATCAAACACACACAGCACAGACTGTAGATGAACATAGAAGCAGGTGACAAAGAAATGTTCCTTTCCCAGTTTTCTCAAAACAAAACAAACAAAAAGCCCCTTCATTTCCTGGCCCTTAACTCATTCCAAAGACTTTTCCCTAAGAGTGATTGCTGTCTCCACTAATGAGATGGTTGGGCAAGGAAAGGGCCCACTACCAGCACCAGAGAGGTGAAAACAGGAAGGTCAGAAATTCAAGGCCATAGTTGGCTGTATAGCAAGTTTGAGACAGGCTTGGGACACATGAAACCTTGTCTCAAAAACTGAAATTTCTTAATATGATTGATTTTGCTTCTAAATCTAAATCTGTTAGAAAAGTTAAAATCACAGTATGTGATTTGTATTATTTTACTAATCAATTATGTTGCTCAACCAGAGGCCGGCAAACTACAAACCATGCACGGTATCCACCTGCCACCCATTTCTGTTATGTTAGTGACCTCAGAATGTCTTTCACAATTTAATGTTTTAAAAATCAAAATAAGTTTGTGGCAGGAAAATCAAAGTTTGTATTTCAGGGTCTATAAATAGAATATATTAGGAAACATGACTGTCACTGCTGCTTCTACTGTTGGGTAAACCCCACAAAGGCACGTGCTTTTCCTTTGGCTTAGCATGTTACTACCTTGGACAGTGCCTGGCACTCTGAGGTGCTTAACATTTGTAGTCGGTGAAATTTTTTCTAATATTTTATTTATTTATTGTGTATACAGTCTTCTGCCTGCATGCCAGCAGAAGGCACCAGAACTCATTCAAGGTGGTTGTGAGCCACCATGTGGTTGCCAGAAATTGAACTCAAGACCTCTGGAAGAACAGTCAGTGCTCTTAACTGCGAGCCATCTCTCCAGATCCAGTTGTTGAAATTTAAAAAATTTTTATTTATATTTTATGTATGGGTGCTCTGCATGTATATTTACAAGCCAAAAGAGGGTATCAGATCCTATTATAGATGGTTGTGAGCCTCCATGTGGTTGCTGGGAATTGAACTTAGGTCCTCTGAAAGCCAATGCTCTTAACCCGAGCCATCTGTCCAGCCCAAGCTGTTGAAATTCTTAACTAGATAAAGGGGGGCTGTAATAGGAAGCACCTCATTATTTAAGAATGTAAACTATGACTAATATTGTAACAGGGCCAAGACCTTACTTAGTAGGCTCTCAGACTTTAGCACAACTGACTCCATGATGGAAATGTCATTCAGACTGTAAAACACAGCATGAAGATACCACCACCTGCCAAAACTAAAAGAGGCCTAATGCATCTGGGAAAGTCTCTACATGGGCTAACCTTGGTTTTGAGCTTCTGTAGTTCCACTGCCGGTTTACTGTTCTTGTTAACTGAAGTGTATGAACCCAGAACATGGATTTTTTGCTCTTAAAATCTCATCTAAGGATGAGATTTTACACTGGGAGCAACCAGTGTTGTTGCTAGCTGGTAATAAGGACTTTCTATTGGCTGTCCACAACCTATAAGCCAACTGTCTCCTTTTTGGTTCAGAAAAGCTAAACCCATCCCATCTAGTACTACAGGAAGGCAAATGCTGGTACCCACTGGCCTTAAACTCTTCTTCTGTATGACAAAAGGAATACAGGCTTTTAAAGAAAATACTTTATTTTAATGAATCCCATGATTTTTGAATACTTCCTTTTTTTTTCTTTTCTTTGACCCATTTAAAAGGGAGAAGTAAAGCTGTCCCAATTATCAAAAAATTCAAATCTTCTTTTCTGTGGAGGACTGTCTGTCAAAGTGTCTTCATCCAAGATGTCTCCCAGATCCTGGGAACTACTTCCAGAGGTCCCTGAAGTACTTCCTGGGTCAAAGGACTCTGCTGCCTCCAGGAATTCCATGTCATTTCCATCTTCTTCAAAGGACTGCTGGAACAGGTCATAGATTGTCTTCTGCTTCGGGTCCTTTATTAGAAAAAGAAAAGAAAATGTAGAAGAAGAAGCCAGTCCTAAGGCTGCCCCTCACGGACACACTAAGGTGAGAGGTGATGCATTTTATTTAAGCAGGGAACTACAGGTGCTCATCAGGCTGCAGCAGCAAACCAGTAACCTGAAGACATGTCCACCTTCTCCATGTCTTCTCTGCTGCTCACTGGCAGGTGGAGCAAAGAGGCTGCTCTCACAGTAAGACTTATGTTGGGAATGTTTTTTCCTTTCCTTTCCAATTTTCCATATCCACACTGCAATATTACAGTAGCTCCAGTAATCTGACTTCTTCCAAAGCCCAAGTCTTTCTAGATGATTTGTCTTCCATGACATACTATACCTCATTTTCAGAGAGGAGACGTGCCCTTGTGTGTGATGTTAAAGCGACAGATGATCAAAATGCATGCCAACTATATCTGCCCATTGTTGGCAATGTTCAAGTCGGGCCCAGACATGGTGACAGGCTGACCATGCCCCCTCTACTCAGTTCTCCTGAGTCTCAACTCTTAATTCTGACCATCTCATGGTCCAGGAGTACATTTTTAACATCATTGTGGAAATCCACAGACCCATAAAACTGTTTAAAATCAATGCTGAGCCAGGGAGATAGATGGCTCTGTGTGTAGAAATGCTTGTTGCTAGGCCTGTGACATGGCAACTGCACTCGATGGAAGGCGAGACCCACTTCCTGTGAACTGTTGTCTGATGTCCACATGTATGCCATGGTTCATGCATGTGGATGGGGACAAACAGACAGTGATGGGGACAAACAGACAGTGATGAATAAATGTAACAATATACTCTCAGCTAATTCCTGTATTCCCAATATAGCTGCTCTCTCCACTTTACAAATCTACCAGTGTTTTCATAACCTCTGCTTCAAAGTGCCAGAGTGCCTGTCTTTGGCTCTGCCATCACTTTTTCTTAGCTGGAGATATAGGCAGTTGTGAGACACTCAGTGTGATGCTGAACTCTGGTCTGGCAGAGCAGGAAGCACTCTTACCCACTGAGCTGTCTCGCAAGCCCCTCACGTTACTCCTAACTTGAGCCATAGCTCTTGGTATATTCAAAGACTTCAACAGCTCAGCAGCCTTTCTGCCTCAACCTAATTTTACTCCCACACAACCCTTTAACGAGATTCCCCTTGTTGTGTCATGGGCTCTCCCAAGACCACCTCAAGTCTAACGTTGCTTCCCTGGCTTTCTGGTTCTCTGCAATTAGGCCTCAACCTAACGAGCAGCTATTTCTTAACAGAATTCCTTAACACTGATGGATTTCCTTAAAAATTGATAGGGGAGCAAGACACTTAAGAACTCTGGACTATCCCATTAACCTGTGCCCTAGAGTCCCAGCCTTTCAGTACAGGAAGTGACAGTAGAGACCATTAAGGCTGAATTTAGTATGTGCTACAAGTCTTCCCAAAGGATATACTCATCCACCCTTTGAGAATGAGTGCAAGGTCAAGGAAACATTGCAAATGCAAGGCAGGCATTGCGGCAGAAATACCTGCTCGCGTCCATCTGATTAGGAGGGTGACAGCACTATTCTCAAACTGGGAGCATACATAATTAACTGGACATAAGCTCCAAGATCAGCTTATTCTTTGTTTCCCCTCTTGGGGGGAAGGTTGAACGGAAGCTCCTTTTGCTTTTGTCTCCACTAAGGAGATAGTGTTTTCTTTTTCCAGTTGCTAATGAAATTCTTAGCCCCATCTTAATAAAAATAGGTAAGCTGGATAAAGTAATTTTGTTGTTTTTCTCCCAAGACAAGGGTTTTTCTGTAGCTTTGGAGCCCGTGGAGGCACTCACTCTATAGACCAGGCTGGCCTCAAAATCACAGATCCATCAGTGTCTGCCTCCCAAGCACTGGGATTAAAGGCATACCAAAGTATGCTGGCTAATTTTACGTCAATTTTGACAGAAGCTAGAGTCATCAGAGAGGAGGGAGCCTCAGCCTCAGCTGATAAAATGCCTCCATAAGATTGGGCTGTGTACTGATAAAGTTTTTTGTTTTTGTTTTTTTCTTGGAGACGGGGTTTCTCTGTGGCTTTGGAGGCTGTCCTGGAACTAGCTCTTGTAGACCAGGCTGGTCTCAAATTCACAGAAACCCGCCTGCCTCTGCTCCCCTAGTGCTGGGATTAAAGGCGTGTACCACCACCGCCTGGCTACTGATAAAGTTTTAATCAAAATAAATACTGATACCATTTATGTCACTCTGCACTTGTACTTTAGGCAATTTTTAATGGATGCAAAGTTTCTGAGGGACAGGCCAGGATAAGAAAAAGATTTTCTGAGAATCCTTTAGAAGTAGCCCTTTTTAGCTGGCCGTGGTAATGCACAATCTTAGTCCCAGCACTTGGGAGGCAGAGGCAGGCAGATCTTCAAATTCAAGGCCCTCCTGGTCTACAGAGCAAGTTTCAGGAGAGCTAGGGCTACACTGAGAGACCCTGCCACAACAAAACAAAACAAAACCCAAAAGCCCCTCTCTTTTCAAAGGTCATTATTAACTTAGCACCATCACCTACAGAAGCATTCAGGGCTTTCACAGCTTAAAGACTGTGTAAACTTGGCCTCAGTTCCCACTCCTCCCATCCAGACCCCGCCCCAGAAAGCCTGCCAAAGGTCAGCTCCTCCCCTGTAGCTGCTCAAGACCACGCCTACAGGCTATTTAAGACCTGGTCACCAGCCCTGCCATGTGATTCTCTCCTGCCTTTCCAAGAGTCACCCAGGAATGCTCTGCTTTGATCTGCTCTGTTTATTAAATCTGGTCTTATTAATTCGGTTTGATGTGGCTTATTGTATTGGCAGAGGAACTAAATAACCAGGCATCCAATACTTATCAGTTTTAATGGTGTCTTAGTTGCTGTTTTTTTCTAAATGTAAGTTATGGTAAACATTCAAAAACAGATGAACAGAATGACTACAGGCCCGCCCTTCTTTTCCAGCTCCAGGGCTGAAGGACACCCAGAGGTGACTGACACCTCCCCTGTCTGGGTTCAAGAGCTCAGCAGCCAGCTCACTGCCTTGTTTTATATAGTGATGACGAGTCGTGTGCTGGTGTTACCTTGTAGAGATAATCAGTAGCTTCTGTCATTTCTGAGAAATTGGTCTCAGAAAGTCCAGCTTCCCCCAGAACTTTAATCTTTTCTTGAATCAGAGGCCTGTGGGAGAGAAAGGATTGCAGTGAAAACCACCTACCCAGAACCCGAAGACTGATGAAATGAGGCCCCTCCATTCTTTCAGGACTGTGATGTGGTAACTATCACACATTTTTGCATCTCTCGGTCCTTCCTGAAATACTTGCCCTGTCTCAACTGGAAGCAGTCTAATCTGTGTTCATAACACCAGGTTCAAAATTCCCTGTAGCACAAGATGTCTAGGAAATAAATCCTGCCTCATTGTAATAGTTTGCTGTTAGGAGCTGCCCAGTGGCCAATCCCTCACCAATAGAGGAGTACACTGATATGCCAGCACGGCAGGGTCAGGCACCTCAGGCGCAGGGCTGAACAGACACGGGGATGGGGGGGGTGGGGAGTGAGGTAGTGGTGGTATGCACACTAACAGGATAATCAAGGAACTTCACATCAGGAAGAGGGAAAGGGGTTGAGAAAAAACCTGGGGAATTTACTTAGATGATAGACATAACTCTAAAGGTTGAAATGGGACCCGTGAGGCAAATGTCACCTCTGAGGCCTGGTGGTGCAGACCTGTCATCTCAGCAGAAGAATAGGAGGCTGAGCAGGGCAGTGGTGGTGCACACCTTTAATCCTAGCACGCAGGAAGCAGAGGCAGGCGGATCCCTGTGAGTTTGAGGCCAGCCTGGTCTACAAGAGCTAGTTTCAGGACAGCCTCCAAAGCCACAGAGAAACCCTGTCTTAAAAAAAAAAAGTTCGAGGCTGAAGGCTCAAAAGTTCATGACTTTGCTGAGCAAAAAACACTTTAAGGTCAGCTTGGGCAACTTAGTGAGACCCTGACTCAAAATGAAAAATAAAAAGGACTGAGTGAGCCGGGTGTTGGTGGCGCACGCCATTAATCCCAGCATTCGGGAGGCAGAGGCAGGTGGATCTCTGTGAGTTCGAGGCCAGCCTGGTCTACAGAGTGAGCTCCAGGACAGCCTCCAAAACAATACAGAGAAACCCTGTCTCGAAAAACCAAAAAAAAAAAAAAAAAAAGGACTGGGTGATAAAGCTTAGAAGCAAAGAACTTGCTTAGCCTATGTGAGGTCGTACGCTCAATCCTCCATACCATAGCAAACAAGCGAGCGACGCAGCCCTGCCATGAAGCACTACAGGGTTCAGAGGAAGCCACTTTCTTCAAGTCTAGCCTTGAAAGAGGTGACCATTATATCACATATCACATATCACGGAAGAGGAAAGGACACTGTCCCCATCTTAACAAGTCGGAAGTTTTAGCTGGGAACAGAGTGTTTCTTACACTGAGCATCTAAAGTCTAGGTTCCTCTTCTTCTTGGACCAGTGGGAAGGGTCACCACCCTTTATTCTTACTGATTTTTCCCTATACCCTGCAAGTCTCCAAAGAATGCTAGTGACGAAGGCTAAACATGGTCATGGGAAGCAGGAAGCATCACTAATTGGTCTCAGCAAGAGTGTAGGTACTGAAGGAGCAAAGCAGCCACACCCTCCCCCAGGCATACCAAAGGTAGTCATCTGCTGTGCCTTTGGCCACCAGGTAGTGAATGCCCACAGAGCTTGTCTGTCCAATGCGGTGCACGCGGTCCTCGGCCTGGATCAGCACCTGCGTGCCCAGGGAACAGAACAGTTATGGAGAGGCCTTCAGCAGCCCAGCCCATCACAATGAGGGCATCGAGCCTCAAGCCCCACTGCCTCCTCTCTAAAGCCTTTCCCTGTCTCCTGAAAACCCGAGAGGGACGCCAACAAACCTCAGGACAAGGTTTCTGTGTGCGGAGGGGCAAATGGCAGAAACATGGCACACTCCATTTCTTACCTCTGGAAAAAGATCCTCCAGGGGCTGCAGAAGTGGCTTAGTGGTTAGGAGTACCTGTTCTCACAGAGGACCTGGTGGTCACAACCATCTACAACTCAGTTCCATGGGGATGCGATGCCCTCCTCTGACCTCCAGGGGTACCAGACATGCATGTGGAGCACTGACATACACGTAAGCAAAATCATCAGACTGCATATGTACCTGGTACTCACAGAGGCCAGGACAGTCAGCCTGGGACTGGAGTTACAGACGGTTGTGAGTCATCGTGTGGGTGCTGGGAATTGAACCTGGGTCCTCTGGAAGATCAACCAGTGTTCTTAACCACTGACTCTCTCCCCAGCCCCAAGAACATATCTTGTTTATGAACCTTGTATTTCTCAGCCCTGAGCACGTCCAGGAGGATTGCAGTCAAGTAAGGATCCCTTACCCCGGGGTTCCAAAACAGTTCAGCAAACACCACCAGATCAGCTGAGGAGAAGGTAAGGCCCATATTGGCGGCGGTGATGGACAGCACTGCCACTGTGTGCCCTTTGGACAGCTGGAACTGCTGGCACAGATCCTCACGGTCTGCTGAGGGTGTGGAGCCGTCAATTCGGATGTTCTGAACTTTCTGTGAGACAATGGGGGAACCTAAGATGAGTTGCAACAGTATTCAGAGGCTGCACTGCCAACCCCTCCAGGTAGAGCCCCTCCCCCACTCAACCCTCTGCCTTCAGGGTTGTCTCACCTTTTATAAAACTGAAGGTTGCACTCATACAATTGTATAATCACGCACCATTATAAGAAACAATAGACAGACCTTCTGTACGTGAGAATGAGTTTCCCACGCAGTGGCCTTTTTAAAAAGTATTAAGTAGTATTACCACTAGGATGCCAACTGATTTTTTTGGTTCTTTCGAGACAAGGTTTCTTTGTGTAGCCTTGGCTGTCCTAGAACTAGCTCTGTAGACCAGGCTGACCTCAAACTCACAGAGATCCACCTGCCTCTGCCTCCCTAGTGCTGGGATTAAAGGCATGTGCCACCAACACCCGGCTAGAACTGAATTTTCTTAAACAGTTGTTACTTTTACATTTTCACTAGGGATCAGTGTTTTTTGTAATGTCATACAGCATGCTGCTAGTCTCCCTAGCATATTCCCTTGTATCAGTTTTCTTCCTAATCCCCTTCTATTTTGTATTTAGAAGTATCTTAGTTTTCCTGATTAGATGGTACAATAAGCCGCTTGCTGCCAAGTCTGACAGGCTGTTTGATCCCAGGACCACACACAAAAGGAAAAGATCCAACACCCACAAATTTAATACTGTAAACAGTACGGTAAAAATTTATTTAATTTCTCTTCTTGTCTCAATTACAAAGACAGTACCCAAAGGTTACTTACTGAATAAACTAAATGATTCCTTGATTATATGTTTCCAACTGTTGGACTATATGATTCAGGGTTAAGGACTCCTATATTGTATATGGTGACATACGATGTTCAGGGCCATGTCTTCCAATAGTGCTGTCCTGTTTCAAAGTTGCCTCCCATACTTCTGCTTGTTTTCTGAGAGGTTCTTTGGGATAATATCTAAGGTTCCCTTTAAAAGCGAAATTCAGCTGAGTTGTGCCTAGTTGTACAGGTCTGTAATCCAGCTGTTTGGAAGGCGGAGACAGGTCAAGATCTGTCTGGTCAACTCAGTGAGACACTGTACAAATTTTAAAAAGTGAAAAGGGAGACGGGGGCTAGGAATGTAGCTCAGGGGTAGAGCACTTAAACAGCCGAGCTGGCCCTTCAGCCCTGGCCAGCGTGTTTTTAAAAATCATTTATTTTAGTATACTTGTTTGAAATTAAGTACTATACTACACTGTCATACATTCTAGTAGTTTTGTAATTAATTATCTTGGGTTTCTTGAAAATCTCAGAGGCTCCCCCAGAGATTACACTCAGCCTGCTCCTAAACAGTTTTGTATGCAGGGATCAAACCCAAGAGGGTTCCAGATATACTTCTACAACTTCCAGATTAAAAACTTCAAGAGAAAAACATTGATAGCCTTATTTAGTGAAAAATTTCTTAAGTTAGTCACACACACAAAAAAAGCATAAGCCATAGCCAGGCAGTGGAGGCACATGCCATTGATCCCAGAACTTGGGAGACAGGTGGATCTCTGTGAGTTCAAGGTCAGCCTAGTCTACAGAGGGAGTTCCAAGATAGGACTACACAGAGAAGCCCCGTCTCAAAAAAACCCAACACCCCCCAAGCCAAACACAGATAAATTTGACATGTAACTAAAAAGATAAAAAGTTAAATCTTTTATTCAAAATAAAGTTAAAGTTAAAAAACAAGATAATTGGTAAATGATTAATATCCAGAATTTACAAAGAATTTTCTCAGGCTGGACAATGGTGGCACACACCTTTAATCCCAGTACTTGGGAGGCAGAGACAGGTGGATCTCTGTGAGTTTGAGGCCATCTTGGTCTATAAAGCTAGTACAGGCCGGGCGTTGGTGGCACACGCCTTTAATCCCAGCACTCGGGAGGCAGAGGCAGGCGGATCTCTGTGAGTTCGAGACCAGCCTGGACTACCGAGCGAGTTCCAGGACAGCCTCCAAAGCCACAGAGAAACCCTGTCTCGAAAAAAACAAAACCAAACAAAACAAAAACAAAAACAAACAAACAAAAAAAGCTAGTACAGGACAGCCTCTAAAGCTACAGAGAATCCCTACCTCAATTTTTTTTTTTCCTCAGTCAACAAGAAAAAGACATTCCAACAAAAAAGTAGGCCAAAGTGAGTGCAAACAGAATTCTCCCAGACTGAGCCAAACTGACTCCGGCACACCTGGGGAGACATGCTTTCCTGTTGTCAGAGGAATGCAGATGGAATCAAGAACAAAAGCAGAGTTCGTTTACTGGGCTGGCAAAAGCAAAACCATAAACATCTAATGAATGAGTATGTATGAGGTGTGTATGAAGTGTGCGTGAGAACATGGGTAGCAAGGGCTCCTTGGCAGGATCAGAAAACTGAGCAGCTATCTTGAACAGCTATCCAGTTAAACTGAAGACAAGCCTATCCTATGACTGTAGAAGACCATGCTCAGCCACACACAAGGCGCATACAAACACACTGTATACACAGAGACACATCTTCCATCAGCAGCAGGGGGAAAGCCATGCAGTCTGACACCGCTCTGCAGTAGCGAATGCACTACACACCTAACTCCGTGACATACCACATGGAGAAATCTCAGAAGCAATGCCGAGCAACACAGGAATGGTAGATGCTTACACTGGGCTACTACTGATGCAAATTCTTTAAATATACAGAAACCAAATTTAGAAGGAGAAGGACATTGTGGTGGCTATTCTTAGTTGTCAACTTGACTACATCTGGTATTAGCTAAAACCCAAGAGGCTAGGTACCCCTGTGGGGGATGGCACAGTGGTTAAGACCATGCTGCTACTCTTGCAGAGGAACAGAGTTCAGTTCCCAGCTCCCACACTGAGCTGCTCACAACTGCCTGTAACGCCAGGCTCCAGGGACTCCTTTAACCTCCATTGACACCCACACATTTTAAAACAAATCTCAAAAATAAACAACAACAAAACCCTATGTATATAGTGAAACTTCCCTTATTCAGCTTGAGTGGGACATGAGCAGGTGTTGTGTTTTACTCTATATCCCTTAAACACTGGAAATGCAGGTAAGGAAGGAAGATAAAGAAATCTGTGGTTCTAAACTAAAGCAAAAGTGAAGAGGGGATGAGACTGCAGTGAGTTTCATTTTCGCGAACATCCTTGGAACTCCCTCCAGACAGCTTTTGCTCACTTTATCGATATCCTGACACTGCCGTGTGCAATTAATAAAGGCACCTGGATAACAATAGGGAGGACACTCATGTAAACACTTTACCATTTCCTTGCAGGTTAGTTGTTTTTATGGATGCAAAGAATGGAAGAGTTCCCGGAGACACTCCTAAAGCAAGATGCCTGCTTACTGCAGGGAGGATGTCAGAATGCCACATGTGGGAATTCTGTGGTTCCCCAAGTGACAACTCCTCAAAAGGCCTTCACAATGTTTCTAGAAACCACGGTCTCAGTTCTTTGCTTAGCCCTGACCCAATGCTATGCAGAACAAACAAATCAAGACCCCACCCTGAACTTCAAAGGGGACTTACCTTCCTTTCAAGCTCCTTTACAACTGCATCCAGAACCACCTTATGGTGTGCAAACACTAGAAACTTCTCTCGTCCACTATCCAGAAGGTCCAGGATATATTCACTATATTTGACAATGATAACAAAGTAGATTGAACACACAACTGCAGTTAGTTACCAAAAAGTGGCTTCAAGAACCTTCGAGGTACCTGCCCGCTCTTTCCCATTCTCTCCCTTTTCTGAGAGCCAACCTTTGCCCCTTTACTCATGCCATGTCATGGACAGAGCAAAAGGAGGAAAAATGTCCTCTGACATATGTAGAAAGAGTTATACACTCCAGTTATACACTCTCTGTAAGCAAGAGCTCTGCGTGTCTCTGGAATGTTACTATGTGGGATTTGTGTCATGTAGATTACTAAAATAATCAGCTTTCATGTTAGTTGCTACTACCAATTTAATCTGTTTTCAATACAGACTGAAGTAGGTTAAAAGATTCCAACACAAACCCCTGTAAGGGATAATACAGAAATGACACTTAGGGGGACTCTCCACCTCCCTTCTACCGAGGCCACAGATAACAGCGTTCGTGGTTCTATCAGTGCTATTGGAGGTCTTTTCCCAGATGAGGGAGCATGGTGGGGAGGATCCCACTTGCTTCGCTTGGTCTCCCCATTCACTTGCTTTTCTATCCACTGTGTGCTTTTTAAATTGTTTAATGTGTATGCGTGTTTGCCTACATGTATATATGTTCACTGTATATAGAGCCCACAGAGGTCAGAAGATGGAGTCAGATCCCCTGGAAATAGAGTTACAGACAACTGTGAGGAGTCTCGTGGGTGCTTTTAAAAATCATTGGGCCATCTCTCCAGCCCCCACTGTGTGTTTTTTTGTTGTTGTTGTTGTTTTTTGCTTTTGTTTTGTCTTAACTTCCTATTATTATCTACGAGCTTTGGGTCTTAAAGGCAGAGGTGATCTGTACAGGTAAGTATTGCTTACTTCTTGGGACATAAGAGCCCTCACCCAGCTGTGGTCATCCCTAGATAGAGACTTGTTTAGGCAGAGTAGACAATGACTTCTTTGGGATGGACAGATCTCAACAGCTTCCTATGATACAGGCAGGTCTGGAAAGGTATGTGGATTTTCCTGTAAACATCTAGGAATTATTTTAAACAAAATTACAACTGACCAAAGTACCAAATTAGACCTCAATTTGCAACCACTGAATTAACAAAATCTAATTATTCTGAAAGACATAAAATTTGCCATGATAAGTTAAAGTTTATTTTCATAGCTCTGAAAAAAACCACAGGGTCACAAAATCAACTTGGTCAGCTCATAAAAACCTCTGGCCCCAATTTTTCTAATGGCACTTCCCCTCACATCTGACACAGCTTAACTGCTCTGCTCATTTCAAGTTTCTCTTCTCATTACCAGAGTGGACACATTTGCCCGCTACTACACTGTTGTCTGTTCACTGAGAGACACCCATTACAAAGAAAACAAACAGCAGTAAACGCGGTGAAGAGAAGCAGCCAGCAGAGGAAACAGTTTTTACAATTTACAATCTAATTCCTACTCATTAGACGTGTGTGACTAGGGTCTAAGACTCACATGAGATGTGCTCAGTATCTACACTTTAAAAACAGGGCCAGACTCCACAAAGAGGCTGGAAGTGTGAAATACACTGAGGTAAACATTGTTTAGAAACAATAAAGCACTACCCATTGTGGATAGGATTTTGACAAGGCATGGCCCAAGTTTATGAGGTAGCAAGACGGCTGGACTTAAGCTTGGGATGCATTTCCATGTAGTGTGCTGTCTACTCTGTACAGGGCTCTGTGTTTGAGCTTTGGCATTGCAAAAAACAAAACCAGTACCAACCAACCAAGAAATGTGGATTTGTTTCATGGTTATATTTCAGATTCTAGGGGAAATGGATGGGTGTGGGCTTAATAATTGAAGAAACCACAGAACCTGGGTTTATAGGGAATGAGGCAAAGAACTGTTCTCTTATCATCCATCACTCAGCAGCATATAAGACAATTCAGGGACAGGTGGGTTGGCCAGGGGACCTGGGGGATGAGTAAAAGACCAAGCAGGTTCCTTTCTCTCTTTATACACAGACCTCAGTCTCACAGCCAGTGTGGCACGACTTGGCTCACATGAAATTTGTTTTCACTGTGAATGAATTCCTTGGGCCATTATTCCATCAACCCCACTGTTAGGACTGCCTCAAGTTCTGACTGCAGCGCTATGCACCTGTGTGCCTGTGCCTATGGATGCCGGAGGGCAACATCAGGCATCTTCCTTAGTCTCCCTATGACCTCAGTCTAAAGGTCTCACTGAACCTGGAGATCACTGACTGGGCTAGGCTGGCCGGCCAGCAAGCTGCAAGCATCTGTCCATCTTTGTTGCCCCACAGCTGGGATTACAGCTCTGTGACATGGCCGCTGGCTTTCCACGTGGGTACTGGGGATCCAAACTCAGGTTCTCATATTTGTGTGGCCAGCACTATACTCACTGAGCCATCTTTCCATTCCATCCCATAATCATTGCTTTAAACATGAGAGATAACAACCGGTGATTACTTACATGACACAGGGGATTTTAGCTTCTGCTGTTCTGTTGAAGAAGACAATGAGGGCTTCTTTCTGCTGCTGTTTCTATGGAAAGAGAAGACGAGAGTTTAAAAACCTACTCTGTGTCAGGAATTACCTGATCCAACTGGAAATACTCTGAACTTTCCCCATTTGAGCAACTACTCTATTCTAGAATATTTCAAAACTATTACTCAAGTGTTTGTATGATTCCATTTCTTCTTTTAAAATAGATACGTTAGGCTGGAGAGATGGTTCAGTGTTTAAGAGCATTGACTTCTCCCTCATGTGACCTGGGTTCAATTCCCCAGCACCAACATGGTGGCTCACAGGGAATCTGTAACTCCAGTCCCAGGAAATCTGACATCGTCTTCTAGCCTCCACAGGAACCAGGCTCACAGGAAGTACAAAAACATAATGTAGACAAATCATCCATATATCTAAAATAAAATAATAAGGGGTGGTCGTGGCAAGGATGGAGCACTGGTTGCTCATGCAGAGGACCCTGCTTTGATTCCCAGCGCCCACATGATGGCCATGATGGCTCACAACCTTCTGTAACTCCAGTTAGTGTATCCAGTGTTCTCCTCTGATCCCTTTGGGCATCAAGTACGCAATGGTGCACGGATATACATATAGGTAAAACATTCACATAAAAATATGAATAAATCTAATAAATTACAAAATAAAACATTGCTTACTACATATATAATTATATATCTAGCTATATACAAATATATTTTATACAGAAAGTTATGTGTAGGCATATAAAGTATATTTTATATAAAATGCCCATGTACAGGCATAAAGAAATATATATAGTAGCCGGGCGGTGGTAGCGCACGCCTTTAATCCCAGCACTTGGGAGGCAGAGGCAGGCGGATCTCTGTGAGTTCGAGGCCGGGCTGGACCGACAGCCTCCAAAACAATACAGAGAAACCCTGTCTCGTAAACCCCCCCAAAAAAGAAATATATATAGTACATATATATACATATATATATAATATGTTTTAAATATTATACCAAATAACAGAAGTAGAAATTATAGTGTTTCTAGGGAGCTCAAATATCTGGGCTTGGAAACTGGTGTTAAGAATTCAGTAGCCAATACATATAAAGAACCAGAAAGTCACAAGCATTTAATAAATGCCACATCTGTTATATTATTGACATCTACTGTATTTTCTTTTTCTTTTTCTCTTTTTGCAAAACTTGGGGTCAAGCCCAGGGACCTGCACATGCTAAGAAATACTCCATCACTGACCAGCATCCCCAGCCGTGGTGTCTTTTAACGTGGGAGAAGTCAATAGCTTTCTTTATCTTTAAAAAGAAAGGAAACTTTTCCAAACTGGGTAGACATGATACTATCCATTAAGGTCTCTCCTCTTTTCTGGCTGTGGGCAAAGGGTTTCTAACAACTTATACCCTTTGTTCCTTGGCTCGTAGACTCTTATTAAAACAGACACACTGGGCTTCTCAGATTTCTCTTCTATGCTGGAAATTTGAATGACAAGGGAGAAAGGATGCTGTCACGGGACTCTGCATGAACCTGTTTAATTTTATTGTTTCTTTGCTGATCAGAAACCAGCTTTAGACAAAAGCCATCAGAGCCGGTTTTCCTCAGTCATTGAGGAAACATTTCCACCTGAAAAATGAGAAAGGTTTTCATGATAACAGATTTTATAAATTGGCTGCTTGGCCTTCACTTTTATATACAAAGGTTATAATAATGTCTTCTAGATGGAGAAGTGTGAAAGAACTAAGAATCAGCCCTTGACAGACAAGCCAGCAGGGCCTGATGGCGCGTCCATTAGGTAGGCAGAGGGGTACCTGGGGCTGAAAGTAATAATACTCGCGGTACCTAAGCACTTATGCTAAGCCACCAGTCTCCTTCTTTGACTAAAACCATGAAAACTCAGTTCTGTTTAACCTCACCGACTCAGGGTTTCATAGTCTGCAGGCACAAAGTCCACTGGCCAGCCACTGTTGGTTCTGCTTCCTGAAGGAAGTTAAACATTTCATTTGCATCAGGCTGCAGGAGTGGACAGCAATTCTCAGGTGCTAGACTGGAAAGGGCTCTGGGATCTATGGTGGATGTTAGAAGACCTCTACTAAGCTCAGACCTCACTTTCATAATCTCCGGAAGGAAATGAGAACTCTACAGTATCTAAGACAAAGGTGACAGTCACCAGCAGGAAGAACTCTAGGCAACTGACACTATCCTTATGGACTTCCAGAACCCTGTCCTACTTATTGGAACATTAAAATAGCCCCTCAGAGGAAAGGGATTTGTACGCCTGCTGAAAGTTATGAAATACCCAACATTCCCAATTGTCATGGCTTATTCTAAGTTTTACTCATAAAATACCATTTTATTAGCTTGATATGAAGTCAACCTTTCAGGCTGCATGTGGAATAGTATGTGGAGCTATGCACCACACTTAAAGGAGCTGTACACACCAGTGCAGGGATAAAAGAGAAGTACACACCAGTGCAGGGTTAAAAGAGCTGTACACACCAGTGCAGGGTTAAAAGCTGCTCACACAACTGCTGAACTACCATAGTCCCCAAGTGCTTTGTTTTATTCTTTTTCCTTTTGGCTGCCCAGCCTGTTCTTCCTCAATTCAAATGCTCACTAGCTGTATTCTTGTTCTCTCTCTCTCTCTCTCTCTCTCTCTCTCTCTCTCTCTCTCTCTCTCTCTCTCTCTCTCTCTCTCTCTCTCTCTCTCTCTCCTCTGTCTCTCTCTCTCTCTCTCCTCTGTCTCTCTCTCCTCTGTCTCTCTCTCTCTCTCTCTCTCCTCTGTCTCTCTCTCTCTCTCTCTCCTCTGTCTCTCTCTCCTCTCTCATTCTCACGCCCTCTCTGTTTCTTGATTTCTATACCAGTTATTCTCAGGCTAGTTCCAAAGGCAGACCAGATACATACTAGCAAGAAACACTAACAGCCTTACTCCATTCACCCATATAACAAAACACCACCATACTTACAAAACCAAAACCCAAAACCATAACTATATCTTTTAATCTAAAACTACCATGTGCCTGTCTCCCCACTAATATTATATTTGCTGTCTGTTCACTGGTCAGGCAGTAAGGGGCACACCCAGGAGACAAAGAAGCAAGTGGACCTATGTGAGTTCCACCTACACAGTGAGACCCTGTCTAGAAGGCAAGCTACAGGCTGGGGTCATCTCAGTGGTAAAGCACACACTGAGCATGAGCAAGGCTCTGGGCTTAATCCACAGCACAGCCCTCCTCCCCTGCAAAACAATGCTTAAAATTTATAAAGTTTCTAGTCACTGAATTTTATTTGTAGGAATTAACAAAAGACCACCAAGATTGATTTTCAGTGACACAGCCTCTTTTGCTACCAAAACATGCCTTAAGAGCACTGCCATAACTAGACATGATGGCATACACCTGCAACCTCAGCTGTCAGGAGACAGAGGGAGGAGGACTGTAAGTTGGAGACTAGCCTGGGCTATGAGGATTGTAAGTTAGAGACTAGCCTGGGCTACAAGCAAGACCCCGTCTCTAAAGAAAAGCCAAACCTGTAACACTGCAACAAAAAGAACACGTCAATGGAAACTAGGACAAGGTACACCTCCCTTTCTTGGGGATCTCAGTTATTACATGTAATTAAGCACACATTAAATACGGTATGACAACTCACCAGGGCTTCCTCTATCCTACCCAATTTCTTAAAAGTTACTGGCCAGTCTTGCACATTTTATCTTGTCGTTTTCTTGTGTATTCTGTCACTTCTCAGAGGCTGACATTGCAGCGGTGACTCACTGCTTTGTTTGGGGGACTATGGCGCCCAGATGAAGCTTTGTGATGATGTCGAAATTACCAGTGGTTGTTTATTTTCTTGCTACTGAAAAGTATAAGGCTTTATCCCAAAAGACATATAGTACTGGTGTAGAGCTCTTCACATACTTCCTGTAGTATGACACTAAAGAAGAGCATGAAGTCAGAGCCAGCCAGCAGACCGTCTTATATGCAGCTCTAAGTTATAGGGCAGGCGAGCTGCATTGTGGGCCTCATTCCACGCTCTGTAAATACAAATTCCCTACACACACCCTGACTAGGTCAAACGAGGAGTGAAATGGGTTGGCTCCTCTTGCTCAGGGAGGTAGAAAAGACGATAGAAAGGCATGTCCGGAGAACTAGGACCACATGCACAGAGCAGCTTTCAGGAGGACACCCATGGAGGCACCCATTTCCCAGCCCCACTCACAGTTTTGTTCGTGGTCATTTCTTTGGCTGCTGCATCCAGGGCCGCCTTGGCCCTGGTGCTGATCCGACCAGGGTTGACCAACACCATCTTGCGCTGCTTGGCTGGAAGCTGGGAAAGGACATCAGATTTGAGCCGCCTTAGCATGACTGCTTCCTCCAGCAGCAGTTTCAGCTCACCCAGGTTGGAGGAGCCTGAGTAGTCCCAGCCCCAAGGGAGCTGAAGAAAGAAAGGACGTCTGTTAGTCTTGGAGCTCCAGGCGACACTGTTTTCCTATCACCCCACTGTGTTCGGAGAGCTTCAAGAGGCTTTACAAGACTGACGGAACCCCAACAGAGACACATGAGGACAGAGAGGATATGGGAAAAGCCAGGCATGAGATAAACCAAAACCCACGTCACAGCAGTCCACCCACAATTTGAAACTAACATTTCCATCGGCTAGGGTTCAAACAGCCCAGAACACAGGTTTGTGCTGGTCTGGCTGAAACCGGATCAAAGTTTTGGGATCCAGGGTCCCCTTTGCTGGTAGCTGGTAGCTCAGATTCTACTCCCTCTCACACAGCTATGGATGGTGGGTGTAAAAGAGTGGGAGCAGAGCATTTGCCTGGCAATGTGAGGCCTTGGGTTTGAACCCACCACAGCAATCAACTGATCAGATATCAATCAACCAGTCATCAGTTCTATCCTACCCTTCCCCAGTACTCGTACTAGAAACAGGACTGCTTTCTATACGGAAGACCAGAGAGCACAGGGCCTCTGCTGCTTTGCATATCCACAACTCAGTTACTTCCCTGCCTCACCCTCTCCTGGACCATGAGCTGCCTGAGGTGGGGAGCTGGGCTTGCTCACTTTAGGAGTCAAAGTACCTAGCATAATGCTGGAGACAGGGTAAGTGTCTGCTAAATTGAAAGAAGAAAGAGATGCTCAAAGTTGGAGAGAGGAATTGGTCTAGTGTTATTTTTTTCTTTAAAAAGAAAAAAAGGCAAATTTGGGGGAAGTTCCTAGCAAATGCCTCACTGGGTATCAAATGAGCTTGACACAGGGTGCTTTCTCTAGGGAGGTCTCTTAGTGCAGAGGGGGAAACAGCTTGCCCTCTGGGTTAGGCTTTAGAACAATCTTAGGAAGATGTGAATTCCATAATTAATTTGGATGTCTTGCCCCTAAGTTTAATATTCTTACATCTTAACCCCGTAGGTTAAAATTGAATAACGCCAAAGATTTTCAACCGAAATAATCACACTCTGACAAGGTCCCGTGCACTGGGCTGGGCGGAACAAAGGGCAGGAGGAAGACTGTCTACACCTGTGTCTTGTTGGGGTGAGGAAAGTGAGCGGGAAGGAATGGAACTTGAGGATGGCGCCTCGTGGTGTCAGACACTGGGGAGGAGCGGCCAGACACTCGGGACACAGGAAGGGACGGTCGGAGTCGGAAGTTGAACTCCTCCTTTAGTCCTTCCACTGAGTGTTATCTACAGACTCAGCTAGGTGGGGGGGGCCCTCTTCAGAAAACAGATCATTTGCAAATAGGACCAAAGTAAAAACCACACAGGAAATGTACAAACAATCGACTCTAGAAACAATCATAGAGAAAGTGAGTTGCAGACTGTGTTAATGAAATACATTACTTTTAAAGACATTCAACAACTGAGAAGCTATGTTAACAACAACCTAACAAAAGTCTGCCATTAACTCTGCAGAGCACTGTAATTGACGCTATATGCACTTTGCGAGTAAATGGAAATGTTTTAAAATATCTTATTTTTATAGTAGTTTTAAAATATGGGAAGCAATCATAAATTCACATAGCACGGATTTTCACTCACAGATTATGAGTAACTGCAGCCATTTCTCCAAAGTATCAGTGTCTGATGCAAATAGGGGCTTGGTATATTTGTGATCTGATCGTAAAACACATACTAAGGTCTGAATTGGTGAGGCTTTACAAACAGTGGTACTGAGTGCATCACATTTCCGGCTGCCATCCTCTCTCCCCCATCCTCAGAGAACTGGAGCTGTGCAGACGGCGGGTTTGGAGTCATCTTCAGAGGGGTCACTTGTGGGTCGGGAGCCACTATCTCCTGAGAGTCACCACTGAGGAGCACAGGTTCACAGAGAAGCCCTCCCAAGTCAACTTGAAATTCTGCTTATTCTACCTGCTGCAAGGTTCTCCACAGTCTTTTTGTAGAAGTGACTTCCTCCCAGGCCAGAAACCCCCATTCACCTGCTTTCTTGGCTCTGCCTGGGCCCTTCCCTCTAACCTGCCCCAGTGCCTTTTCTGGACCTGCTTCTGGCATGGCCTTCCCTTCTGCAGCCCTGGCTGCAAGTCTTGAACGGAACTGTAAGTTGGACGCAGGCAGCACTGCTCAGAGCCCTACACTACTGGGCAGCAACTACTGGGCCCTTTCCTAGAGGACACGACCTGCAATCACCACGAGTGTTAAAACTTGGAAGGACGGATTTAATCTCACCTTTGAACATACTCTAAGGTCAAAGTCAGAGGCAAACCATAATGAAATTTTTGTGTGGTTTTCTGGCCTGCCTCTTGGTTCATATCAAGGAGCAGAGAGAAAAGTGTTAGCATGAAGGTAAAAGAATAGGGGGCCACGGAGGCAAGAGAATGAATACCCGCTTGGCATCACAGTAGCGAAGTCCAAAGGCGTGAAACTGAGGGAAGAACGTTGGCTTGACAGCAATGATCTGCGTGTAGAGCTCTGCAGGCCGGGACATGGCTGGAGTGCCAGACAATAGGATCACCCTCTTGGCAACCTAAAGATAAAACAGCCAAAAATGCTCTCAACACAGTGAGGAGAAAATGAGGGGGGTTGCTGCCCCTATGGGAGATTCCTTAATACAAAATATCAAAAAGGTCACAATGAGGCAGGAGCTGGGTGCCCCCACCCTACCCCAGGAACAGCAAATCCCCAGGCCGCAGCAGCTTCAGCCTTCGCTTCCTGGGCTCTCTCAACTGTAAGTATATACATTTGAGTTGTGTGTGGCAGGTGGTTGGGAACAGCACAATTCTGGAAAAGTAGCAAGCACCTTCACCACCAAGCCTTCTCTGCAGCCCATTCTTAACTTTAAACATCTCAGAACTTTCCTTTGTCAAAGATGGCAAAGACAAACCTTACTCCAGAACTGTGTGATCTCTAAGTCAGGGCACTCTAGCCAGAGAAAAAGACCACGTGTATTGCAAGTTAGATGTCAACTGTCATTCCTTCTGTCCCTCCTAGCTGCTGTCACCGCACTTACACCTCCTGAACTATCTTTACAGTGGCCCTCACTTGACCGCAGGTCTCTTGAGATTCTGATGGATATTCTTGGTTGTCCATGTGACTACATCTGGTATTAACTAAAACCCAAAAACCTGTGAGGGATTTTGTCTTAATTAAATCATTTGATGTGAGAAAACTCACTTCTTTTTTTTTATTTTAATTTTAAATAGCTTGTTTTACATGTCAATCCCAGTTCCCTCTCCCTCCCCTCTTCCCGAACTCCCCTTCCCCCCCTCCATCCCACCCTATTGCCAAATCCTTCCACATAGGGGATATCTAGAGTCTGACATTTTACTCTTGGTAGGGTCAAGGCACTCCCCTAAGAGTCCAGGCTGAGAGAGCATCCCTCTTTGTGCTATAGGCACACGAAGACTGTTTGTATACCAGGGATAGACACTGATCCACAGCTCAGGGCCCCATAGTCTAATCCAGATCTCTGAGCAGGGAAGACACACCTTCAATCTGCTCCCTCTTTGCCTGCTTGCTCTCTCTCTAGCAAGTCCATTCTTTCACTGGCATTAGAGCCTACTTTTTTGGGATTCTGGTGTATACTGAAAACCAGCTGAGACATCCATTTTCATAGACAGAACAACTACTGGATTCTTGGAGGTTCCATTGGTAGACAGCCAACCAATACTGGAACAGCTGGACCACAGCCTGTAAGCCATTCTAATCACTCCCCCACACACATACACATCCCACACATTCTATAAGTTCCAATCCCCTAGAGAAGCCTGAGATCAAGGACTGGGCCGTTCCTACTTACTTTCTGTAGCACTTTGTGCCTGGCACAAAGTAGGCAATCAGTCAATGTATACTACATGCTGAGAAAAATTCAGAGGAAAACTAGTTAGTGTTGCAGGGAACATGAAGTAAACACAAGAGATCCAGTGCAGGAACAAAGCAGGAAAGAAATCAATAGGCCTGAGTTTCCTGCAGAACAGATTTCTGATATTCAAGTTAAATTTACCATAATGACCCTGCTAGTATCAAGAGTAAATAACAATGACAGCTTGCGTAGAAGCCTCTAGATCACTGGTTCTCAGCCTTCTTAATGATGTAACCTTCACATTGTGATAAGCCCCAACCATAAAACTATTTTTGCTGCTACTTCATAACTGTAATTTTGCTACTGTTATGAATCACAATGTAAATGTCTGAATTGTAGGGTATCTGATATGTGACCCCTGTGAAATGGTCATTTGCTGCCCTACCCCCAAGGAGTTGCAACCCACAGGTTGAGAACCACTGCTCTAGCTGATGTCTTAAAGTGTTTCTGTATATGTTACATGCACATATTAATGTGGGCATGTGTGTGTTATAGAGGTGCGCATGGGTGACATGTGGACGGAGGCCAATGGTCTATGCATTTGTGGTCTTCAATTACTATTTGCCTTATTTCCTGACACAGGATCTCTCTCTCTTTCTCTCTCTCTCTCTCTCTCTCTCTCTCTCTCTCTCTCTCTCTCTCTCTCTCTCTCTCTCTGTCTCTCTGTCTCTGTCTCTGTCTCTCTCTGTCTCTCTCTGTCTCTGTCTCTGTCTGTCTCTCTCTCTCTCTCTCTCTCTCTCTCTCTCTCTCGTTTTGTTTTTTGAGACAGGGTTTCTCTGTGTTAACAGCCTTGACTGTCCTAGAACTTGCTCTGTAGACCAGGCTGGCCTTGAACTCACTGAGATCCACTTGCCTCTGCTACCACTGCCAGGCTGCACAAAGTCTATTACTCATTTGGCTAAGGCATCAGGGCAATGAACTCTAAGGATCTGCCTGACTCTACTCAAAACTCAGCACTGGGGATCCAAACTCAGGTCTTCACAATTGTGCAGCGGGCAACTACTCACTGGTTTTGTTTTTGTTTTTCTTTAAGGAAGAAATGTCTTTTCTAACTTCACTGTATTTCAACACTCAAGTTCATTTTGTAATTACTATGAACTTTAAATGATGGGCCCAGATCCACTGACCACACTCAGCCTGGGTCTGCAGTAGCCTGCTCAGCAGAGAGCAGGAGAGAAAGAAAGAGCTGGCTAATCCAACTCAGGGGACTCAAGTTCTTCATTTCCCTGACTCACACCTGACCCAGGCAGATCACACCCAGATCATATCTTAGAGAAATGGGAGAGTGACACCAAGAGGAGGCTGTGCCGCAACAAACATCAAGTCGTCACAACCGTTACAGTTAAAACTCCCTCAGCTTTGGAAGAGACCCCACTGTGGAGCTCAGCGCCTAGAAACTGCTTGTTAACCACGATAACCTTGAGCTAATGGCAGTAATACAAGGCGATCACATGCATTAAATGTCCAAGGGGAGGAAAGGAGGTTTCCAATTGGATGCACTGATCATTAAAATAAATAACAGTTTAACCATGGGAAGAAAGAGGATTCCTCATAAATATACAGTACATACAATTCTCAAAGTGCACTTCTGCCCTCTCAGCCACTGCAAATACCTAATCCCATTCTGATGGCAGAGCCATGATTTCTTTGGCTATGATTTCCTGCACGGTTTAGCGCAGACTCATTAAAATAACAATGGGCTTCTTGAATGATGTCTGTAGCATCTCTGTTTGCGGCTTCAGTCTATTTTAAAGAAAGTAGCAAGAGACAAAAGAAAAAAAAATGGAAACAGTTTCAATAGGAGACATCTGCTCATCATTCAGACTGTGTTCCCAATGCCTCTGTGTTTGCCTGGGGATGGAGCCTGGGCCAAACCAGCTCCCAGGCCAGGTGGCAGACTCGCCCCAGAGATGAGTCAATAGTCAGTTCTTCTCTTATACTTCCCAGACTGAAGTGACAGGAGAGGGACTGAGGGAGAGATGTAGGTGTGGAAAAGCAGAGGGTATACTGCTGAAAAGAAAAAGGCTGGCTTCGAGAGGAAACCAGAAGAGCATCTCATCTGTGATGGAATGATGTAACCTGCTCTCTGTTCAAGACCCGAGATTGTGATCAGTCATCTACAAGGCCTTTGATCTGTGCCCACCTGAAAATAGTTGCTCTGCTTGGTCTACCTCTGAGAAACCCACCCCCAGGAAAATAAAGATGTATAAAATGATATAAATTTATGCTAAAATAAACACGGTGTGGTCAACTTGCCCGTCTGAGGAAAGACCGTGGAATCTGAGAAGAAAACAGTGGGACAACGTAAAGGAATTCTGTTTGGTGTTAGGAAGACAACGCAGTTCATAAGCACACACTGTGAGGGCAGCTCTGACATTTCCTCAGAGCTGAGCGTCAGATGCCATGCAGAACACTCAAATGCAGGACAAGTTAGTGCACCAATGCACCAAGGAGAATGCCATGCGGTCAGCCAAAGCAGATAAGCTACACATAGATTGGCTACACATAGTATATCCCCTTGCTCAAGTACTGATGTTAAGAGGCTTGGCCTTTGGCTGAAATCAGTGTATGCAGGAATATTAACCCTAGCTGCCTCCTGCAAATGACTGCATCCTGAGAATGCTCCCCTACAGAAACCTCCCACTGCAACAAGCTAACCACTCTCCTCCAGAAACACACAATACACTCGCTTCCTCATTCTGTGGTATATAATAAATACACGGACTTCTCAGGCTGCTAGTGTGTCTGTCAGAGCTACAATCCAGCCAATCTCAGCTTTCAGTAGGTATGTCTAGTGTCTGCTCTCTTATCACCCCAGGCAGGTCAACTCCAAAGCTATACAGGTTGGAGTAGCTAGGTATGGTGGCACACACCTATGATCTCTGCAATAGAGAGGCAGAGGCAGAAAGATCAGAAGTTCAAGACCAGCCTGGGCTACACAATGCACTGTCTCAAAATGGAAGAAAAAAGAAACAATAACAAATCAGGGGCTGTAGAATGCCCCTCAGGACAGAAGAAAACACAATTAGAATTAGTAAGTAAAACATTGATCTCATAGCTATGTCTATCTCTGATGGACAGCAAAGATGGGAGGAAAAGACAAGTTTTTGTTTGTTTATTTTACTGCGGTGTAAGTTTTTGCAAACTTAATCATCTATTTATTTAAAAAGCAAAAAATAAACAAAAACCTCAGATTTTTAGCTGGCATCTCATTTAGGCAATTATCAGAACTAGGGACTCTAGAACTCATCATGGTGTCACAAACCTATGCAGTGGGGTCCAGGACACAGAACAAAGACAATAGGACTTCATCAGAGAGTGTATAGAGAAGGCCTTGCTCCTGCTCTACATGCCCACTGTTGCCCACCCTAGAGCCAGAACACACCCCAGCCCATGTGCTCAGGGACAGGTGTAGATCTGAGAACACGGGAAAAAATGTACATAGCAGACCTTCTAGTTAACCACAGGCCTCAGATGGTGTGAAGCAGACCTAGACCAACCTAGACCAACCTAGACCAACCAGGTAAGCTTCAGCTTTGCCAGAGATTGTCTCTGAAGCCCACAGCCCTGGCCTGGTTCTACATTTAGATAACACATCACTCCTTGGCAGCTTTGCCTACGAGTGATGCAGTTTCTCCTGAGCTGTTTAGTGACATGTTACAGGTCCTCTCCTGAGCTGTTTAGTGGCATGCTACAGGTCCTCTTGTGCTGGGGGTTAGCCAGAGGACGACTCAGAGTCTCTCCTCATCTGAGTCTGTGACCCTCAACAGGACTCCATGTGGCCTGGGTTCTTGGCAGGGTGTAAGCTCGCACAGAACCCATCAACAGATGCCCGATGCCAGCACTGAGTCCCACCCCTAGCTAGTCAGCCTGGGCCGCCATCTGTTTGGCCGGGACGCCCTGCATGCCTGAGCAAATGTTGTATCAAGGCCCTAAGTCTCTCTCAGCCACACTTACCTTTAGGATAGGCACAGCTGCTCGGCAGCGGGCAGTCTTAATGTTTTTGAGGAAGTGCGATTCGTCCTGGAAGAAACATCCACATGAGCAAATCGGGACAGTCCTCAATACACAGACAGATCCCGACCTTGAGCCTGGCTTGGCATTTGCCTTGGAGATGCTTCCCTCAACCTGTTGCTGTTCAGAGACGGAGCAGTGTGGCTACGGAAGGACCCAGGCCTGGGGCAGCTTCTTTACTATGCTCTGGATACATTACTGTCTCTTGCTAGGACAGTTTTCCACCTAGAGAGGCAGGCATCATTGTCCCTAAATCCTGGAGCCACTGTGACTATCCTGGAATATTTTTTCATACCCCATTTCACCAGAATGCTGCAATCCTTTCAAAGCCACACTTGAATGTGTGCCAAGCCCAACATGACTCCCACAAAGACTCATTACCAAAATAGCTTTGATAAAATACGTGTTCTTGTTTGCACACACTAAGAACATAGAGCGGTTCTCATGTCCAGAACACACTGAATATCCCCTGGGGTCCACAACCATGTCTTCTCCTTCCCTGCACTGAGTTCCAGCTGCGTTTTCATTTAGGAACCTTGTCCACATATTCTGTGCTGACAGCTGGCTGGGCACCAAGTTTGCCCAGGTGTTCATGAGATGTATGAAGAGTGAAAAGAAAAGCCAGTTGCTGAAAGCAGTACTTGGAAGGAGGTGAAGATGTCTTTAAAAACAACTCAAGTAAAAACCGCTTTTCTTTTAGCAGGGATAGGGACGTGTCTTTATATCAGGTGAAAGACAATTACTGACTGCTGAACTATGTGTCTGAGTCACCACATTCACACGGTGATACCAATGCATGCACACACCCTTGCTGACAAGGATGCAGTTTTTGGGACCCAGAATGGTCTGGGTGCACACATGCTGGCCTCCATCCCTGGCCTCCCAATGCAGGAGGGATGGACTAGAAACCTTCTAATAAACTTGTTTCACCTGTTTAAAACGCTCCTCCTGGCCCACACTCAGGCATAAGAGCTGCTTCAGGAAAGGAATAGATCATTCCCTACAAAAGAAAGGCAGTGATTTCTCTTGCCCCCTCCACCTAAAACCAGAGAGGATCAATGAGGGCAAATTCCCAAATTTGAGGAACCCTTCAGAGTGTCTAAAGAGACAAAGTACTCAGGACCCTGCCAAGTCACTTACAATAATGACGACCTTGAAAGGGGTTTTTAGCTGCCTTTCCAACTTGCTAAGAAGATCAAAGCTAACGATGTTGACCAAGCCAGCTGTTAGGCGGCCCTTGCCGGTCACCACCACGTTGATGTTCTCTGGGCTCAGAGACGGCAGCCACCGGAGAAAGGCCTGCAGGTGACAGGGGACAGCAAAACAAAGTGACGACCCAGCCAACAGCACTCTCATTGGGGATCAAGTTTAACATTCCCTGAAGACATGCTCCTCTCCACATCCCCCTGCAACTGCCGAACCCTGGTTATCTCTACCTGCCTCTAGTCCACTCCTCCCCTCACTATTTACTGACAGGAGTCTCTCCTGTGAGCAGGCACTTCACGTGCCTACAGGTTCTTCTCTGTGTCCTCTAGATGGTGAGTGCAGCCACTCCTGCTGGGAAAGAATGATTCTAAGAATTTTAGGAAGGTCCTGCAAGAGCCTCTGGTACACTAAAGGCAAGCTGCATTTACCGACGACGATGAAAGTACTCGTTGGTCTTTACAAAGCTACCTGCTGCTCCCCACAGTCCATCACTGGATGAATCAGGCAACCCGGGGCTGCAGGAAGGCCACTGGGTGTCTCCAGCCTGAGCATGCAGGTGCCCCTGGCCTTGCCTGGGCCTGCCATTTCCTGACATGAGTTCTCTTGTCTTGGTTCTGCTTATAAGCAGCTCCCTGACTCTTTCTGGACTTTTTGAGGAAAATCTAACACACACAGGCAGGCTGAGACGCATCCTCTGCAGTCCGACTCCAGTGCCTCAGGGAGAGGTCAATCTGTGATGCTCCACATCAGCAGCACAGAGCCATAAAGCCTGGGAAGTAAGCTAGGCCTTTCTTCACTGCATTTGCTTAAATTTAAAAAAAAAAAACTTAATTATTCAATGTTTACGTCAGGCCTCCATCTATTAGGTCTCTGGGGAGCATAGACATACTATGTACTACACAGAGCAGGGAAGTCAGGAAGATGCCTCCTGAGGAGGGAGCACAGCTCTTGACCTCCTTGAGACCTAGTTTGTTTATCTGAGTGCTGTGTCACAGGACTTGGAGACACATTCTAGAAATCTGGTACAGTGCAGAAAGACAGTCTTGTATTACAAGGGCTCAGAGGTAGAGTATCTGCTGAGGGACTGGCAACAGCTCCCTAAGCTGGCAACCGCTTGGCTTTCCTCCCTTTGGGAATAACATGACTCCCCATTCTCAGGGACCAACTCACCTTTCTGCTGGTCTCTGACCCACATCTAGACCTTTCCTGATCCCAGGCCTTGCTCTACACTATAATTTTGACGTTCTAGCCCTTCTAAGGAAGCCCTTCCCAATGATTCTAACGCAAAGGAATCTAACCTGCTCCCAGGTGAAGCGCACAGAGGAAGGCACGACCACCAGGAGTGGCCACTCCTTTCTGTAAAAGGCTGCTATGCAGATGGCCTGGATGGTCTTCCCCAGGCCCATGTCATCAGCAAGCAGTAGACGGCCTCTTTTGGATATGGCAAAGCTGCAAGGAGACAGACAGGGTCAGCAGGGTCAGGTAATATCACAGTGCCTGGGGCCATTTTGTCCATCTTAACTAACCTGAGACCACAGAGCTGAGAGGCCCCCTCTATGCAGGCTGCAACACTGACGAGAATGGGCCCCGCTCTCAGCAAGACTCTCTTTCCAGAAAGGACAGGGCAGGAGTCATTTAGGAAACAGAATAAGAAAAAGAGGGAACAGACAGTGACGGCGCAGCATGGTACGGTCACTGGAGGAGGCGGAGAAGACGACAGAATCGAGAGCGCAGCCAATGAGAAAACTCTGCCTGAACCAAGCACAGGATCACAGGGGACCGTGAGAGGCCATGATGCAACATCCGCACGCAGGGGTTTGCTCTCCCTTGAGAAAGGTGCCCAGGAAGGACACAAAGAAGTAAGTGGAGTAGAAATACAGCATTCTGAGGATCAAGGCTTACTCTCTATGCCCAGGAGCAGAGTGGAGCCAGCAGTGCTAAAACTACTGGCCAAAAGGCCTGCCAGGGAGAGGATGAGAACTCGGCTTTAGCAAAGGGTTTCCTCACAGACTGGCAGCTCCCGGGCACCTGCACCAGGCCTGAGCTGGAGTCTCAATCTATCTCGCAGTACCTGTGCCTCTTGATGCCACTCCAACCGCAACAGTGAGGTCGGAGCAAGAAGTACCTGACCACACTTGGGAGAAACAGTGACGGAGCACTTAGGAGTGGTGCTTGGCACCTCCCTAAACACTGGGGAGCAGTTTCTATTATAACCACCGTCCCTCAGGAGGGAGGAAGCAATGAGAGCAGAAGCAGTGAAATGATTTGCAAGTGTTGCAGATGAATCACTGAGAAACTACAAAGAGTCTGCACATCAGACATCTGGTCACCTGCTCCAAACTCCAGTCCTCTTTCATCTAATTTGTGAAAAACTGATTGCTGGCTCAGAAACCAGTAATGAGCTAGTGGATGCTCTTTTCCTTTCCTTCTTACACAGTAAAAACAAAGAGTAATCTCTTCCCATCAGCTTGTGGGCACTACAAGACTTTTCAGTTGCCCTTGGCCTTCTGGTAAATTTCCCAGGATGCAACAACTGAGCAGCTCACTGGGGACCAGAGGCAGGCACACGTGGGCCAGTGGGTATCCTGTCCTGGTACTTCCTTGTCCTCTAGTAGCCCCGAGAAGCAGCCTCCCTTTCTGCAGCACAGAAATAGCACTTAGTCTGTGCTGCCAAACTATGGAACACCAGCCACAAGCCCCGGAAAAGAGCACCTGGCCGAGCAGAGAGCAAGCTAAGAAGAAAGCCGAACTGAAGCAGAGATTTCTGGGGAGAAATCGCTTTCCTTCAGCTGATGAGAACCGAGCCGCTGTACACCTGCAATCCAAAGTCCTGGTTAACTCATGGAATTGGAAACCAATGGTAACAGTAAGCTTTGCTAACAGCACACCTGGATGTTCAATGCTTAATGTTGAATCTAGATGCTTCCAAACATGCATGCAATGAATGCATGTAAGTATTCATGAAAGAAGCATTTGAACCCCACCTGTGCTAAGTGATGAAATTCAAGCAAGAGAGAGCAAGAGGAGGACCAGGAATCTACCTAACGCCCTCTCTCTGAAAGGGCATGAGATTAGACACGAGCTTGGCATCTACTCCAGAAAGGTCGGCTTCAGGCACGTCGGCTTTGGCATTGAGAGATGTCTTCTCCAGCTGAGATGCGAATGCCAGGGTCACTGTCTTGGGCAGAGGGTCCAGCTGAACTTGTCGGAGATCACGTGACTTTGCAACTGGAAGGAGCAAACAGAGGTGTGTGAAACAGAATGCACAAGTCCAAGAGACCTGAAAAAAGACAAATGGGGTTGGCACACAGAATTCAGTAAAGATATTCTGCTACATGCCATTTTCTTAAGAGGGCTAGCTGCAGAATATGCCACTAGCTCAGCACTGGACTAAATAACAGCCAGCACTCCCTCTCTCTAGTCCTTAATGCCTACACATAAGAGGGTATTCTGTAACACAGAACTGGTTTGCTGACTATACTAGAAAGAACTGTCTGATGTTTATGATTTTTTTCAACCTCAAGTAATTAATTTTCTTTCTTTATAGTTCCATTCAAATACATAAAGACCCATATCCATTAAAATAGCCATTCAAAATCATCCCAGAAAGATCCTAAAACACCAAGTCTTCAACAGAATGATTCTAGTCTTGTTTTCATTCTGATGGCTTCAGTGTTTGAGGAAAGAGAGAGAATACTTAAATCACCTTCTGTCAACAGGCAGGAGAAACTCTGTGCTCTTCAGAGAGAACACTAGGGGTTCCCAGTTAGACTGGAAGAACAGTAGTGCTACTAACAATGTCAAAAGCAGAGTCCACGCACAGGTCACAAACCAAGAAAAACACATACTTTGAATCTTGTTTCATATGGAAATAACTTTCTCTTCTTGAGAGGGTTTTGTAGTTGTCATCTCTATAGTGAAGCAGCTAAAGTATCTGTCATGGGGAGTGTGTGTGTGTGTGTGTGTGTGTGTGCGCGCACACACACACACACATAAAGAAGGCTCAGTGAGTAAAAGAGCTTGCTGTGCAAACATGAGAACCGGGGTTTGGATACCCAGAACCCATGTAAAATCCAGATGCATAACATGCGTCTGTAATTCCAGGAACCTCCAGGGAGACGGTAGGCAAACACAGGAGAATCCCCAGGAGTTACTGGATCAGCCACCTTAATGTACACAGCAGAAAAGCAACAAAGAGACCTTGTATCCAAGGTAGAAAATGCAGACTCCAGAGGTTTCCTTCTGATTTCCACACACATGCTATGGCACATGCATGCCTACACACACACACACACACACACACTCTCTCTCTCTCTCTCTCTCTCTCTCTCTCTCTCTCTCTCTCTCTCTCTCTCTCTCTCTCTCTCTCTCACACACACACCAAAATATAATGAATCCTTTACTCTGAAGGTGACTTGCTCATGACCTAGTCTCTGAAGCAGGGGTCAGTGAAAAAAGGCCTGTGGCCTGACCAGCCTGCTGCCTGTTTGTTTTGTGGGTTTTTCCTTTTTTTTTTTTTTTTTTTCCTTTTTTCTTCAAGACAGGGTTTCTCTGTGGCTTTGAAGGCTGTCCTGGAATTAGCTCTTGTAGACCACGCCAGTCTTGAATTCACAGAGATCAGCCTGTCTCTGCCTCCCGAGTGCTGGAATCAAAGGCGTGTGCCACCACCGCCAGGCCGACCTTTACTAAATTTAAGTATCAGGTGTTAGTGAGTCGGGTCAGCAGGTAAAGGTGCATGCCACCAAGGCTAGAGACCTATATTCGATGCCAGGAACCCACATGATAGAAGACACACAATTTTTCCTCTGATCACATGTACCGCATGCTATAATACATGTAGATATACATCCCCTCTCCATTCAAACACAATATATATTATGCACACACACACCCCAGCTGTTTCCATGAATAGAATTAACAATACAAATTAGGTAAGACTGACGGCTTTAACATAAAGTAGGTTGTCGCATACTTTTTATCCCGTAAATTAGATCTCAATGTGCTAATTTATATACACTTCAGGAGATTGAGCACTCAGTGTACTCAGCAGAAGCCATTTGCATCATAATTCTAGCCATCTTCAGAATTCAAATACCTGGAGGAAGAAAGCGAGGTGCTGCCGAGCCGCTGGTGTGCAAGGCCTCTGTAAGCACCCCATGCTTTCCGCCATGCAAAGGGGAAGAACCTGATGCCACTGTCTCCCACAGCTCTGCTTCTAAAGTCCTGTTACTAGTTCAGCTCACTGAGTGCTCCTGAGAACTCCACCCTGGCCAACGCTGTCTATTGTCCTTTCATTGGTGCTGGTGGATGACAGGCATGTGCCGTCTGGCTTCATGAGTCATACAGAAGTCATTTCTACAAAAAGCTCTTTGGCAGGGTGCGCTAGCCACACAGCTGAGAGATGCTAGTGTTTCCAAACAGCAGCTGACAAGACAGGATCATGGAGAACCCTTCTGGGCTGTGACGCAGGGGAAAACAAAGGGCCTCATGCCAATTTTACTGCAGGCAGAAGGCGTCCAGTCACTTGGAGAGAAGAGACACCTCTGAGAGTCACTTTCTTAGAGGAAATGACTCTCACCGCATCTTTGATGACACACTCAGGCCTCACTGCCATTTCTTTTCTTTGTTTTTGGTTTTACGAGACAGGGTTTCTCTGTATTGTTTTGGAGGCCCAGCCTCGAACTCACAGAGATCTGCCTGCCTCTGCCTCTCGAGTGCTGGGATTAAAGGCGTGCACCACCACCGCCCGGCCTCACTGCCATTTCTTAAGTAGCTTCTCACGCATGTGCTCAACTAGCTTGGCATCAATAATCTGACTTCACTCTAGGAAAGGGCCTCCAGGAGAGAAGAAAGTGCACACTCCCCAGGTCTGCAGCACCGATGGCGACTGAGCCAGGCTCTCTTCAGTGTCCATTCTGGCCTCTCAGTGCTAAGAGCTGCCTTCAGAACACTGACTATGTCAGGTTACAAACCAGTAGGAGTTCCAATCTTATTTCTGCCACCATTGACTTCACTGTGACTCCAAAATGTTCCCAGTAAGGCAAGCAAAGGTTTCCTTACTGAGACAACGTAGCCAGGAAGAAGCATATAAAAATTACAAGTCTAGACTCGCCGACTCAGGGCCTAGAGAATTCCTAATTTCTAATACAAACTCATTATGTACATTTTTCTGCATGAAGAACTGGCTGAGTTCATTAGATATTTTAAGGTTACAGGCCCGCAAAACATTAGGAGCTGCCATGGAGGCCTGGCCTTGCTGCACAGTTTCCCAGCATTGCATTCACCTGCTGTTGCCACGTATCCTGCCTGCTTTGTCACTCATAGGAGGCTGAGAATTTTACTGCTCACGTATTTGTCTTTCTTGGTCAGGGAAGCAGTGAAGTGACAGGAAAGAACTAATTCCCGTCTCTCGTCAGAAATTCAGGTTAGGCTAATAGTTCCCTTGAATCAAAAGCTCCAAACAGCAGTCAGAGGTTCAGGTCTACACGGGCCATTCTTCCTGCTTCAGCCAGTTTTCATGGTACTAAAACAGCACCACCCCCTATTCAATTTAACCTTGCAGTTTACAGCAAGGCCTTCCTCAAGTAACAAAGGTTTTCCTTTGTATTTATTTATTCCTTTGTATTTGTCTGCCAGTGAGACAGATATGGATTTAAAAAAAAAACAAGAAAAAAGTATTTCTCAGATACGAGTTTTATGCAGCCTAGGCTGAACTCAAACTTTGCTAGGTAGCCAAGGATGACCTTGAACTTCTGATCCTCCTGTCCCTACCTCCTGAGTTAGAGGCACAGGCCACCACACACAGTGGATCAAACACAGTCCTTAGGTATGCTAGGTGAACACTTTATGATCTCCAGCCCAAAAGACAAGTGGGACACAAAATAGTGAACCATCTTCCTGATATCTGATACTACATAGTAAGTCAGGAGACATGGAGCACAGAAAGCAGCCCAGCCCACCCTCTCCTTTAAAGCCCTAGCCTGATGGACAGGTAGCTAATGTCTCCTCACTCCCACAGCTGGCCAGCGAACTGCTATGACTGTCACCAACACACTCCTCCCCCCATCTGGGAGGCCCAGTAAGTCCACAGGGCGCCAGGAAGGAGGACCACAACTGTGAAAACTCACTACTCTTTAAGTTAGAGAAGACCACTGTTCCAGAACAGACTATGACCACAACCACCTTTCTCTGGCACATTAGAATTTCGGTCCATCCGAGAAGAGTACAAGGAAGAAAAAACGGTAAGCCAACCAGGCAGCTCCCTTTTGTGGTAATGGTAGCTGTGTACACTGTGCACACATCCCTGCTCTTGGTCAGTCTCTAAGTCCTGTTCAAATCTCTTCACATCAGGTCCGGACCTCTGCATCTGAGAGAACCCAACCCATGATGCAGCCTCAAACCACAACACTCTCCTACCTTCTGGTCATCGGTTCTGGAGGTAAACCGCGAGGTTGTCTAACGTAACTTCCATCCCAGCTATGTAAGTCCATCACTCCTCTGATTTCCCAAGTCTATATCCTTGACTTTAACTGTCTATAATGACAGGAAGGCTTCCAGGCCCTAGGAGTTTCAACTGCACTGCCTTGCCCTTATGGATCAAGAGCCCTGTGTCTGAATGGTTTTCACAAAACTGCTGGTGCCAGCAGGCTTGAACAAGGCAAACCCAACACATCTTTCATCCAGCTACTCTGCCCTCAAGCATATGGATGTACCACTATTATGGCAGCAGGGGGGAGAAACCTCTCTTCAGAGCCCTTTTAAAGCTAAGGCTGCTATTACAGGTTAGCAACGTGATCAAAAGCAGAGAGGTGGCTTTCTCACTCAGTTTATTGTGCTCCTCCAGGAGAAAGCTCCACTTCCTGGTCTTGGCATCTGCAATGAGAAGAGAGAAAGAAGCACACATTCATTCACTGTCCAACTTCATGAGCCTCCAGCAAGCTCCCATGATGCATGTGGTGGTCCCAAGGTTGGTAACACAGCCACCACCAGGAACTTATTAGAAACACATCTACCCTACCCCATTCCCACGCCGTAGCTAGAGGCCTCCTAGGTGTTTCCTATGTACACCCAAGTTTGACACCACTGTCTTAGGGTATGGAAAGGAATTCCGTTGTAGGGCAACTACTGCTTTCCTGTTCTTCTAAGGCTAAAATAAATGGATTTTAAAGTCAAGGCAGCAATGCACCTCCTGCATTTGTCAAGACAACACTGACCAGGCAAATAAGAAAACAGGATGTTCTCTTTGGAATGCTTAGAGATAAAGCAGCTGCCATTACGTGTTCACTCTGGGACAACCGAGCTGTCACTGTCCTGTAGATATATCTCTATCTCTGTCAGGAAAGTTAGTTTGGACAACCAAAGGTGGAGACAAACAGTGCCATCACAGACCTCGCAGAGATCAATCACTTACCGTAATTCCTGGAATCCATCTGTTTAAAGAGTGCGATCAACTCCTCCGAGTAGCCGATGTCCACCTCAAAGCGGGCCCGGGAGATGAGCATGCACCTCCCCGTGACAAAGGCAAGGGAAGGAGCCGAGGGAAGGCTGGTCTGTCCCCTGACACTGCCATCAACCCCTTCCAATGGCTGCAGGGAGACCGTGGGGAGTCGCTCGGCTGCATTCACTGTGAAGAGGAGGAAAGGATGGAACTGATCAGGTACATGACACTGGATGACTTTCACCTGACCCAGGACACTCAGAAAGCCAAGACAGGACAGGATAGGGCAGTCAATTCTTCTCTCCCTTAAAATTTTGGAATTAAAAAAATGACAACCAGGTATCAGATATTAACAGAAGGTTGTAGCTTGCTTGTGATGGTGTTAAGTGTTGTAAGTAATCTCGATTGTGCTTGAGAATCTGCTGTAGTTAACACACCACAAAGCACCCTTGGGACCCTATACATAACTGCTTAGAGAGCAAGGAGATGAGAAACAGGACTGACAGACCACAAATACATGGCTTTCCACATTATTTTATTACCTGTCACTGATGCACTTTGTGGTCTGTCAAAAAAGAAAAACAAAAGAAACAAACACACAACCAACCAAAAACTTTATACTTATTTGAAAGGCAAAACTGCTAAGACATCTGCAGAAAACTTAAAAAACAAGAAGAGTACCAAAAGAAGGCACAGCGCTGCAACCAATCAGAAAACAGGAGGGAAAGTGCCCAGGAAACAGAAACGCTCCCTTTACAGATAACCACAGAAAGACAGGCACATTACAAGTTGAGAAAAAAACCTTCTGGGAAAATTGATGAGGAAGGAATGAGTTTCAAGAGGTGATCATCATGACTCTACTTCGGGGGGCTGAAAACACAGACATAAACTTGAGCACACAGGGCTTCTTTACCGATGCCAAACCAGGAAACCGGAAACAAATTAAACAACAAGAAAATGACTTAGGCAACTCTGCCATAGTCATACAACAAAACGTTATTCAGTCACTGCTTTTCTCTGTCAGTAAGAAAATTTGAGAAAGACAAAATACAAAATTTACTATGATCAACAATGCAAAATATGTTGAGGTTCACAGTGATCCATTATAATAATGACACCCAACATTCATCACACAGAACTAACTGCTAGCTTTCATTAAAATAAAAATGTTTATGAGAAAGGCAGAGTACAAATTATATACAAATGTAACATTATTTACTTAATGACAGAAAAAAGTGGGGAATGAACAGGATCAAAGTGCCAGCTATGGCTGAGTCCAGAGACTATGGGCCTAGTGAATTCTCCTTCTCTGGGCACTAACACACTGTGTATTGTGTGGTAAGCATGGGTAGGGTTAGAAAAGCAAAATCCAGCTGGGGATACAGCGCAGTACTGAAGGCTGACCTAGCTCATCTGTGGTCCTGGATTCAATCCCCAGCACTATAGGAAAAGAAATAAAATTGGTGTGTGTGTGTGTGTGTGTGTGTGTGTGTGTGTGTGTGTGTGTGTGTGCAGAATCCACAGACATATGTAAATCAGTAACTGTTGGGGACAATATTTATTGATTTGTGATAATGCTAACAAGAATAACTGGGCCAAGGGTGTACATCAGTGACTGAGTACTTGTTTACTATGTATAAGGCTTTGAGTTTAATCCTCAGTATTTCAAAAAGAAAACAAAAGCTGAGGGTGGTGGTGCCGCAGAGGCAGGCAGACCTCTGTGTGTGAGTTCCAGGCCAGCCTGGTCTACAGATCGAGTTCCAGGTCAGGCTTCAATGCTGCAGAGAAACTCTGTCTCGAAAAAAATAAAATTATATACATATCAGTATAAAAAGTAATCATACTAAATAAAAAGTCATGGAGAAAGACCTCAGGAGGGATCAAGCCTGCCTACACCCTGACCAAACCTGCCTAATCCTGACCAAGCCTGCCTAATCCTGACCAAGCCTGCCTAATCCTGACCAAGCCTGCCTAATCCTGACCAAGCCTGCCTAATCCTGACCAAGCCTGCCTACACCTAACCAAGCCTGCCTACACCTTGACCTCAGATTCGTTCCCTTCAGAACTGAGCAAATATGTTTCTGTTGTTCAAGATCCAGTCCACAGCAGCCTTACCAAAGAGCAGGACACTACTTTTGTAAAACCGTATGTTTTACAAAGAAGAGACCAAGGAAATAAAGAGAAAATTCTGCAGAAATTGACCCATCACTCCCCAGAAAATGTCCTGGTGAACCCAAAGAACTCCACCTCATATGCCATATCCTCAGAGAAGAGACTTGAGCATGGACCCTCAGCTTCTGAAATGGGCAGGAGAGAATGGGTGTAGACATCGCTGCTGAGAACAAGGGGAAAATGGGAAACAAGAGTCTCAGCAATTTCTCTGACAGAAACAGCAGGACAAGGAATCAGTGTATCAGGCTTTCTTTTGGGCTACTGACCAGTTCCCCAGTTATGACACAAGACATGGAAACTTACAATTTATGAATGCTCAACCTTTTTTTTTGAAGATTGTACCATTTTTTTAATTTAAAGGTGTATTTACTTTGTATTCAGTGTTCTGACTGTATATATGCCTTCAGGCCAGAAGAGGGCACCAGATCTCACTACAGATGGTTGTGAGCCACCATGTGGTTGCTGGGAATTGAACTCAGGACCTCTGGAAGAACAGCCAGTGCTCTTAACCTCTGAGCCATCTCTCCAGCCCTTTACCTTTCTTTCTTTCATTCTATATACCTTACTTTCCTGTTTCCTCCCGGTCTGGCTGGCTGATGGCTGCCTGGCTTCTGACCATGAGCCATCTCCCTTGTTCTCTCCTCTCTTCTTCTCATTCTCTCCTATTTTCCTCTCTGCCCACCAGCCCTGCCTATTCTTCTTCCGCCCAGATACTGGCTGGTCAGGTGCCTTAGGCAGGCAAGGTGAAACAGCAACACATCTTAACATAATTAAACAAATACAGCACAAATAAATGTAACACACCTTCACATAGTTAAAATAATATCTTTGCCTAGTTAAATACTCAACAAGATAGAAACATGGCCATAAGACAGTCTCAGAAGGACAATGATGCACCCAGGGCTGACGATGAACCTGCCTGAGCTCCTGAACTTTGGGGTTCACTAACCAGAGGCTAAACAATCTTCTCCTTAGGAGCAAGGCCTGACACAGCTACCTGTCACTGCTGGAGGTGCCACAGTATAGGGGGAACAGGCACTCCGATTTGAATTCCAGTTGAATAACTAGCTGTGTGTCTCTGCATTAGTTACTCATTAGAGACTTCATTTCCCCACTTGCAAAGTGGTTGTCATGAGAGATAAGAGATCATGTAACTTAGGACTGAGAAGAGCCCAGTGCACAGAACCATTAGGTGCCTACTTACTCAAGGCTCGGTAGTCAGTCATGCTGAAGTCCCATGTCTTCATAACAGGATCTGAAATAAACAGAAGGCTGATCACTTTTTTTTCATTTGTTCTTTGACACTCTGTAAGAGTGAACAGAGACCAAATTCAAAGTTTGTTGATTGACAGGCTCTCACAGACTTAAAAAAACATCTCTACAGGAGACAGAATGCAAACACAAGTAACTCTGCTTCATGGAGATAGCAATTCTGGCCCAGGGAAGTCATTTAACTAAGTAGGCTAAGGCAGTCAGGACTAGAACCCAAATCCTCTGAATTGCCATGGAATTGGGCAATGATATGAGCAGTAGCTGTGAGGAACAGCAGAGCTAGCCACACCCCAGCTCTCCCAACAGATCAACTGACCCAAGCATGTTACTTAACATTACTGAGCTAGCTTATCACTTTAAAAACTGAAAGGAAAAAAAATCTACGGATTTCAAACTACTGTTTTTAGGTGTCAATGCTACAATACATATGGCACACCTGGCAGAGGAGGTCAGCAAAGAAAAGCTCTCCCTATGGCCATGCAATGTTCCACAACTGCTCGAGACAATGTCTATGACAGAGGGAACGTTAGCTAAAATAGAAAAGTGTAATGTGCCAATGTGCCTTCTTAATATTTATGAGAAACTGTTAGAAGATAGTTCAAAAATAGAAAAATGAAAAAGCCTCATTACCATAGCGTCTGCTGGGCAGAGACTTAAACACGGCAATGAGCTCCTCATTGTAGCCAATCTTTACCCGAAAACGATCTCCCGTCCTTATGCACGTTCCTTGCAGACAGCTTACTTTTTGGGTCGAGGTTTGCAGTTTCTTTGGGGGTCTCCCTTCTGTTCTAGGTGTCTTCCCCCCTAAGGCATAATAGGTATCCGAAGCACTCTGCCCAGAGGTGGAGGGCTTCACTGTCTTGGCCTCTAACTCGGGACCCTTGGGAAATGGTCCAGAGGAGGAAGCTGCTCTGTCCTGGGAACACGGTCCTAAAGGTCCCCAAGGCTCCTGGGCTGTGGCAGCAATGGGTGTCGCCTTGATCTTATGAGAAGCCTGGGGATGACCCTGATCTGACTTATAACCCAAAGGCTGTTGGTTAGAGATGTTTGCAGGACTTGGGGCAGGGTTTGAGCACGCTGTAGACCTCTCTCCTTGAACCTTCCATATCCCCTTTGCCGGCTCTGGTGTGCTTGGCTGAGAATGGTTGGAACTGTGAGGTCTCTGGTCAGTAGGAAATGAATTACTGAGATTCTGTTGCTTGAAAGGGACACCATGGCCCACTGGCTTAGAAGGCCCCTCTGGGAGATTCACAAAAGGTCCCCGCTGGGGCTGGGAAGGGCCGGAAACAGTGGAGCCTGAAGCTGTGCTCCGGGGCTGTTCTGATAACTTCTCAGCTCGACGGGCCAGAGCCTTCTGTCGATTCTCTTCAATCTTTTTCTTCTGCTCCTCTGTAAGTGGCAAGGACATTTTAACACATAGAGGCTCATGCAGGAATGTCACCTTTTAATTGGGAAGCTGGCAAAAGCTGTGCAAGGTAAAAACACTGAAATAAAAATGACATTCAATATGCTCCTACTTTGATTTGACAAGTTTTTGTCCCAGATAATGTATTAGAAAAGGCTAAAGGACAAACTGAGTTTTCTTTTATAATTAAAATGAAAGCAGACACACGCACACACACACACACACAGAGAGAGTAAGTAGCATATGAAACAGTAAATTCAAAACTAATTGTATTTCAGCTGGACTGTTTTTCTCCTTCCCATTCCCTAGCCAAAGTGAGTTAGTTAGCAGATCCCAAGAAGTTTATAGTGAAACCTAACTTCATTAGAAAGAGCAAAGACTACATTTTAAACTAGAAAGGATAATGGAATAGACAGAAATGGACCAACCAACTACATACCATGGCGTGACACTTGCTAAAATATAAAATAGCCTGTTTCCAACCTGGAAGAAGGAAAAAGAACATTAGCCTCATAGAGACTGCACACTAAATTCTTTCCTTGTATTCAATCCTCATTTCATTTCTCTTAACCTCTTGGTCTGCAGGTGGACCAAGGCAAGCTAGAGCAGCTGGCCTTAAAGCCTGATTTCCAAAATGCAACAGCAAAGGGAAGAAGTGAGGGAGGCAGAGGAGGGCAATGGTTACTGTACCAAATCCAGATACAAAGATGTAAAGGGTCACCTGCCACACATTACCAGGTTAATTCAGAGCACAGTCTGAAGTTTTCTTGCCACATACGTGGAAAACAGATATTCATTACAAAGTAGGGCCATCCAAAAAACAAAACAAACAACAATAACAACAAAAGTAGGGCCACCCATACATTTTGTTTTGTACTGTGATTTAATTTACCCCAGCCATTTTCCTATGGGCTGGACCAGTATTACAGTGCTCTAGTAGCAGAGGCCAGAACACCAAATTCTCTGGCCGTGTTCGGTCTAAACCTTATATAAATGGCATGCCTTATAATGTTTATAACACAGGAAATACTCCAGTAGTACCGTCAGTCGTCAAAGGAAGGTCTAGACTCTAAACTTTAGAGGGTTTAAGATTTTCTTCTTTTCTAATATTCCCTTTAAACAAAACACCCCAAAACATCTTCTCACAGATGTAACACTCCTGTCTGACAGCGGCTGTTAAAACTCTGGAGTCTTGTGCACAAGTAGGGTGATCTACCTAACTGCCAAGGCGTGGTATGCTGACTGCCCACCCCAGTCGGGGAGGTGAAATCACGGGAGAGGTCCCACTAATAAGTCACAAACCACAACTGCACCCCTCTCCTCCCCACATAGACGTCCCTCTTTGCTGGGACCTGGACTTAACTTCCTTTCTTGGCCACCTCCCGAGGTCCGGGGAGAGCGGACGCCCCGCCCCACTTTGCCTCTAGAGTTTCCACTTGGATCCTCCCTTCCCCGCCGCTACCCTCCTCTAGCTGCATTTGGTCTCGTCCGCCTCCAACGCCGCTACCTCCTTCCAGCCCACTTTCTTACCTAGCGAGGCCCGTAAAGCCATGCACCTTCGCAGAAGAACCCTCGCCCAGGAGCGTCTCCTAAGCCTTGCCTAGACAGTTTATACCTCTAGCCGGACTGTTAAAGGAACTGAAACTCCAAAAGCCGCCAGCTCAACCATCTTGGGGCGGACCGCGGGCCATGAGTGGTTCGGTCACCGTTGAACTACACTTCCCAGCATGCAATTCGGCCAGAGATCCCAGTCATAAACTGGGGATGATAACACATTTGGTGTAGGGCCTTCTGGGGTTTGTAGTTTGAGTCAGAAAGCCTGCCAATTGGGGGCTGGTGATCGGGGAAGGTGTGACGTTTAGGCGGGGCGTGGTATGGTGCACCCTGGGAGATGTAGGTCACGGTCTCTCCAAATGTTTATTTAGTCTGGCATAAAGGCATCCCGTGGAGCTGAGCGTTCAGTGTCAGTGGTGTCTTCAGTGGACTTCTCAGACAGCCAGACTGATTAATAAAGATTTCCTAGACACACCCCTTTCTCATAGTTTTGTCCTTGTAATTTAAGGCCCAGCCGCTGCTTGAGTCCCTCCTTTCCTGGGCCAAAGAGGAACCAGCATTGGTAGAGCTTTCATCAGTCAGTGTGATGATCATTAAGATGAATACAATGAAACTTACATAATCCCTACTTGTATTCCAATCTTGTCTGGAATTCAGTCTGTAGCCAGGGATAACTTCCCTGTCTTCACCTCCTACAGGCCTGCACCATCGTAAGATTGTTACTACTTTCTCCTTCCTTCCTTCTTCTTCTTCTTCTTCTTCTTCTTCTTCTTCTTCTTCTTCTTCTTCTTCTTCTTCTTCTTCTTCTTCTTCTTCTTCTTCTTCTTCCTCTTCTTCCTCTTCTTCCTCCTCTTCCTCTTCCTCTTCCTCTTCCTCTTCTTCTTCTTCTTCTTCTTCTTCTTCTTCTTCTTCTTCTTCTTCTTCTTCTTCTTCTTCTTCTTCTTTTGGTTGGTGTTGTTTTTTGTTTTTGTTTTTGGATACAGGGTTTTTCTGTGTAACTTTGTAGACCAGGATGGCCTCAAACTCACAGACATCAGCATGCCTCTGCCTCCCAAGTGCTGGGGTTAAAGGCATGAGCCCCCAACACCCAGCATTTCTTTTTCTTTCTTAACACAGGACCTCACCATGTATTCCTGGCTAGCCTAGAACTAACAGATCCTTCTCTGGAGTACTGCAATTAAAGGTGTTTAAGGAAAAGGAGACACAGCAGTGGGTGTGTTCTTTGATGAGGAAAGAAGATGATGGGACAGGGGAGAGAGAAGAGAAGAAATTCCTAACCTCCCACCAAGCCACTGGCAGCCAACATTTGAAGCTATATTTCTGTGGCATTTTAAAATTTTCTTACAATAATCATATATTTTGTGTCATGAAACACGATTTTGTTAATACCAGAGGCTGATGATTTAAATAAGGCTTAATAGAGAAAGTGTTCAAATCCACTGTGAATGTTGTGAGTTATTTCCACCAGAGAACGCTCTAAAAGCCAAAAAGAAAGTCTTTATCACAGCTGGCAGCTATATGGGTAACTCACCTAAATCATGCAGCCTGGATCTCACAGCCCTTCATCTTTTTATGCACAAACTACATCCCAGTTGGCACACTTCAGTTAGCAAGAACAGTTAGCAAGAAGCAGAGCTACAGAAGCCAAAAAACAAGCCTAGTGCATTTAGGGGCTGTCCTGGATCCTGTAACTATGGACCAGGTCTGGGATGGATTAGGTCTCTGTTCCCATCTTGGCAGGTGTGGGGCCTACATCCTAGGTTTTCAGGTCAGAATGGTACCTCTAACATGGCGTCAGTTGTGCTAAGGTCTGGGGGCCTAGTACACAGATGTTGCTACTGCGCCTTCATTTTTCGTTTGCTTTCAATTTCACATCTCTTCATATGGTTTTCCCTCTGTGTGTCTGTGCTTTTGTTTTTATTTGTAAAGACCAAAGACATTGAGCTAAGACAACATCACCTACTTGCAGCTCTTCATTGTTAGAGGTGAAACAATAATGGGTGAAACGCTTACTGACCTGTGAAACCCTACAACAACAGGCAGAAGAGGGGTGCAGCTAGTGCTTTAGGAAAACCTGAGATACTCAGTTTCCCTGTACTCAGCATCCATTTCCTGCTACCCAGTGCAAATGGCTGCTAATCGGCCCACACCTGTCTTGCTCTTCCTGTCTCCACCAGAGTCAGTTAATTTGTTAAGACCAAGTGCTGTGCCTTCATCCTGCCTGTCATGGATTCACGTGACAGTCACTTCACTCTCCTGGCCTAACGGACTCACCCGTAGAACAAGGTACGCTCTTTTGATACAATTCAGAGAACATATGGATCCATGGAGGCTAATCTTAGAACCCAGGATTCCTATACATTCATAGATCTTGTGCCTAGAAATCCCAACGTAGAAAATCTGGAATTGAACTAAAAATGTGTTCTCCTTTAGAGCTCTAACATAGTAAATTGAAATAAGTGTTTAGTCTAAAACTCATCTTCAAAAAGCAAACTAATCAGATCCCAGTCACTATTCCTAGCATTGGCTCTGTCAACAACGCAATCTACTGCAATCTTGAATAGTCAACCTGGTTTTTTTTTGGCGGGGGGGGGGGGGGGGGGGGGGGGGGGGAGGTGGGGGCTGTTGAAGTGTGTCTTACTTCATAGGCCTGCCTCACCTCAAACTCAGCACAAGCTTCTTACCTCAGGCTCCCAAGTGCTGGATTACAGACATGCACAGGCACACCCACTTTTTAAACACTTTATATACTTTTGAAGTCCTGAAGGTAACAATGAGAATCCAGCCGGGCAGTGGTGGGGCACGCCTTTAATCCCAGCACTCAGGAGGCAGAGGCAGGTGGATCTCTGTGAGTTCGAGGCTGGGCTGGACCGACAGCCTCCAAAACAATACAGAGAAACCCTGTCTGGTAAAAACCAAAAAAAAAAAAAAAAATGAGAATCCATTAATTAAAATGGTTAAAGGGCTGAAGGGCAGCAGGGGAGAACACAACTGCATCAGCTGAGTTCCAGCAACTAATGCAAAAAATTATGGAATCATGCAAACTATTCAACCCAGGTTCCCAAACACCAGGCATCTAAATAGTACCAAGCTGGAGGACAGCTGGAGACAGGGTTTCTCTGTGTAGCCCTTATGTCCTGAAACTCACTCTGTAGACCAGGCTCTCCTGGAACTCAGAGATCCACCTGCCTCTGCCTCCTGAGTGCTGGGATTAAAGGCGTGGGCTCAAAGAATAATTTTTAAAACTAGATTTTATTATTAAACATAAAATCCAGCAGGATGTGGTAGCTCATGCTTGTAATCCTAGCACTTGGGAGATAAAGGCAGGAGGATGAAGAGTTCAAGGTCATCCTCAGCTACATGGCAATTCAAAGTCAGCCTGGGCTACCTGACCACAACTCAGAAAATTATAAATGGAGTGAGTAAATTACTACAATTTATTTTGTACTTTTTTATGTTTAACTGGCTTTTCATTAGTAAAATGATGAGAGCTATAAATGTCACCTTGGTAAAAATAAAAGGTTGTTGTTTCTTAAAAAAAAATCAGTAAGACCCATGAGATAATTCAGTGGGTAATGGTGCATTCCACCAAGACTAAATGCCTGAGTTTGATCCCCAGGACCCACATAACTGGAGGTAGAGAACTGACTCCCTCAAGTTGTCTTCTGAACTCCACATACACAAACTAAACAAATTTAGATGTAATAAAAATACAATATTCAGGCTATAACACACCCCACCCCCAATGAGGCAGAGACTATTGTAAAGGACTCCAGAGAGACATTAAGTCTATTTGTCCTCCTGTCATATGGTAACAGAATTTACAGAATTGATTGCAAAAAGGTATAAATGCCAGATTTAGCAACTGTCCCACATACCACATGAGGCATACCTGCACTAAAAAGTTACTAGACATATGAAATTCAAAGTTAGCTCTGTGTCAATTATTTCATTAAAAGCAGCCCACTCCCCTGCTAGCATTATTTCAGGACTGTCTTAAGTGCCAAATAATAGCCATTGATAAACAGATGATTCCTAGATAAATGTATACCTTGTATTTTAGAACTGGAAGGTACTAGGTCCCATACCTAGCACGCCCTCCCTCTCTCCCTCTCTCTTTGCTCCCTCCCTCCCTGTCTCATTCTCTGTTCCTCTCTCTCTTCTCCCTCTCCCCATCCCCTGTCCATCCACCCCCACCCCTTAAATCAGGTCATGGCCCCCTGCAGTCCTCTGGGACAAAAAGCTGATAGGAAAGCATTCTATGCTGTGGCCCTGCAGCCCCACCCCCCACCTATTTACAGCTTAAGTTTTTGGTCCTACCTAGTGCCTGGCTCCTTGGCGGGCTAGGCCAAGCAAGATCACATGTTGTGGAATTTCCTGTCACCCTCTGGAAATTTAGAAAAGTCAGAAATTCCCTCAGTTCAGAGATTTTAAAAGTTTTCCTCCCACCACCACCCCACCCTATCAGGCTGTCTCCAGAAGAGGGGACTTTAATTTTTGGTGTTGGGGATAGGACCCTGGCCCTTGCAATCATGCTAGGCAAACATTTCATCATTGATCATCCAGCTTCCCCCTCAGTCTGCAGTCAGTTTTTTGTTGTTGTTGTTGTTGTTGTTGTTTTTTAAGATAAGGTTTCTGTGTATCCTGGATATCCTGAAACTAACTCTGTAGACTAGGCTGGTGATAGGGGTTGTCCTCCTGTATATATGTTTCTCTTATTGGTTAATGAATAAAACACGGTTGGCCAATAAGGCAAGAAGATAAGCAGGACTAGAAGAGGAGAATTCTGGGAAGTGTAGGCAGAATCGGGGTCGAGATGTGAAGCCCTGGAGGGTAGGGAGCATCAGTCGTTCTTTGGTAAGATAAGGTCATGTAGAAATACATAGATTAATAGAAATGGGTTAATACTTAAGTTATAGCTAGCCAGTAAGAAGCTCCAGCCACTGGTCAACAGTTTTATAATTAAGGTAAGTTTCTGTGTGTTTATTTGGGGTTGAGGTAGCTGGGGAACCAGGCTGGTGGATTAAGAAAACTCTACAACAGGCTGGCCTCAGGAATCTGCCTGTCTCTGCCTTCCTCTACCGACCACCCAGTACTAGTATTAAAGGCATTCACCACTACAGCCCAGCCCCTGTGGTCACTTCTGTTTTTTTTAACCTT